CCGTGTAGTCTTGGCTGTGTGTGTTGCGTAGGCATACGAAATGGAGCAGCTGTATGCAGACACAGGGTTCCTGAACAAAAAGCTGAAGGACCGTGTCTACATGGAGGTACCGTTCGGCATCAAGAACGCCCAATATCACGTCTGTTTGCTGAACAAGGCCATATATGGGCTGAAGCAGGCTGCGAGCGCCTGGAACAAGACCATTCACAGAGTCTTCATGAAGAGCGGTTTCAAGAGTTGCGGTGCGGATCAGTGTGTGTACGTGAGGCATTCCAAGAGCGGTTACATATATGTCTGTCTCTATGTGGACGACATGATCATCGCTGCCAAAACCCGCGACGAGATCTGTGAAGCCAAAGAGGCCCTCAAGAACGCTTTCAAGATGAAAGAGTGGCGACGCGAAGTTAATCTTAGGAATGGAGATTGGGGTAGCCCGCGTGAGTTCAAATCTCACAGCTGTCGGATCCATACGACAAAAGTGTCGGAACACTGATGATCAAGCAGACGCGATACATCGACGATGTAACGGAACGGTTCGGGTAGCAGAACGCTAAGGGTACCGACAACCCTTGTGCGTCCAACCTCAAATCGTCGAAGGAACAGTCACCAGGAACGAAGACGGAGTGTACTGAGAGGCAGGCAAGACCGTGCCGTTCCCTAATCGGGTGTCTGATGTACATTATGACGTGTACTAGACCGGATATTGCCTACGTGGTGACGCAGCTGTCGCGATTCCTCAAGAACCCTGGTCTACCGCACTGGCGAGCTGCGATTCGTGTGCTTCGGTACTTGAAGACGACACGCACACTTGGGATCGTGTACAACGGAGGATCGAGCAAGGTTACGTCCATTGCTTGGATCTCAACCCGTCGATCCCTCTGCAGGATCTTTCGCGGAGTTGGATATGAAGGCCGATCCACCAAGGGGCCAGTTGGCTCCGCCGAGGGCTCCACTTCTCCGAGCGATTCGATCTCGGTAGTCGCCTCGTACACCAGATTCTGCCATTCTTTGTAGTGGCGGGACCCCACTGACACATATCCAGGTCACCTAGGGATACCGTCCTTCGCCAACCATCGTCCGAAGCTTTCGCGGACGCTGACTGGGGGAGCAACATCAATGATAGGCGTTCCGTGTCAGGTGTGATAGTGATGATCGGGAGCGGTCCAGTGGTGTTTAAGTCGAATCTTCAGAGAACGGTAGCGCTGAGTTCTGCAGAAGCTGAATACAGGGCGTTGAGCCTGTGCACCCAAAACGTACTGTGGACGCGCGCGATGTTGAAGTACATAAGCAAGGGCCAAGAAGCGGCTACGCAGATCTGGGAAGACAACCAAGGGGTGATAGCACTGGCCCAGAGCGCTGGCTATCATGCCAGAACCAAGCATGTCGACATCAAGCACCACTTTACGAGGGAAAGTGTAGCGAACGGAACGGTCAAGATTGACTACGTGGACACTAAGCACCAACTCGTGGACATGCTTACAAAGAGGCTTGGCACCAATACGCTCAAGTACTTGCGGAACGCTAGCGGTATCAATGAGAAGTTGGACACCGTGTAGTAGGCGGTGAGTGGGAGTGCTGAGCAGGCACCGCTCATGCGCGGTTCGAGCCGTTGGACCGGTTCAGTAGTGAACCTGGTTCATATCGTACAACACCTATACGATTGGTAGCGACGGTAGGTAGGAGCAGTTAGTGCACAAAGGACAGGAAAGACAAGCGGAAGAGCGATAACATCAATCTTATTCACTTCGGTTTAAACCAGCAAAAAAAACCAAGACGCCTTGCTGTTGGTGTTCTTGACGGCAGTGTTTTTTTTTTGATACTTTAAAAAATGAATTTTTAGCTAGTGGCAATAGACCCATCCGCATTTTTTTACTATAGCAGATCATATGGAGAACACCGTGTAGTCGTCGCGATCTTACATTTACAAAATTCTCCATCAATATTGGTCAAACAGAGGTACGAGTGCAACACGTTACATATAATATTATTGTGTACATCCCCCCCCCCATGCAACTACTTTGAGCTTTCGATCCCTGGTGTCCATTTAACCGCCTACAGAAACTCAGGCTTGACAAATTTCTAGTCAGCCAAAACGACACAGGTTTTATTTTATATAGGTTTTTGTATGGGGCCGATGGTGGCCGTAAATTGTGTCCAGCTTGACAAATCTCTTTTTTGTATGCGAGCCTCCATATAAAGTGCAAAAACGCGAGCGTTAGCACATCCCTGCTATTTTAAAGCATGTTTTGCAACTTGTGTGAAAACCGCACCGTCAAATAGTAAAAATTGACTGACTTCTGGGCACTCGACGAGGTGGCCGTATACATGTAATTGCGTCCAGGAGTGTAAGTTATTAACTTTCCTTTACATAATTTACACGTTTTACCGCTCCATGTAAAACCTTATCCTACGCCCTTGTCGGCAACACGTCCGCCTATTAAGTACAATCAAAATTTTGCTGTCTAAAAACCGCTTAAATAACAATGGTCAAGTTCATTTCGCTGACAGTAGTAGTTGTCATCGGCACATACATGTATAAGTTATTTTTGTTCAATCTAAAGCCATCTATCTTTGTGGCTCAAGCGACAGCGTCTCAGCGTCGTTATTACGGCCAGTCCTTACGGGCGGCTACTGCTGTACATGTAACATGTTCGATTTAGCAGAACATCATAGAAACTCACTTAGATAACTTATTAATGCAAAAAAAAAAAAAAAAAGTTGTATTTTAGTCATTGTAACTCGCAGAAACTAATTATTACGTATATTAATATTACAGCCATTGTACGTCATAGCGTAAGACTCAGTTTCAGCGTCAACAGCGACATCGTACTGCTTCTTGATATACGCGGCTACCCAGCGAGCTGTCATTTCGAGTGTGATATTCATCTCTTCAGAATACGACACATCGCGCAGAGTATCTGGTATCGTAATTTACTCCGGCATTCTTCCTCCTTTCGGCTCTGGTACTCCGGTAGGACCTTCAAGCTAGCACGCATTGCCAGGTGGCCCTTCCGATATCGCTTGTATTTGCCAAACCAAGATTCAACACGATTATTCGTATGTCTCGTGAAGTGGGGGAGATCCAGATGAAACGCCATAGCTCACATCTCACGATAATCATTTCAATTATTATCGAAGTATTCCCACAACGCTTAGCGACAAACTTTTAAAGTCGGCCCGATGCAACTCGTTGTCCCCCTCAGTACTGGTGTAGGTCATGTTCGTGATGGTATGCTTCATCTGCTGCAACACGTCGGCTTCGTAGGTACCAAATTGCTTCGATATGCGGATTTTATCGTGAATCCACTTGATAACATAAAAGTGACCGAGTTGAGCGCGGGCTTCCGGCAATTGTTTTCGTAACACATCAATCTGTCGCATATCCTTGTCAACATTATGATTCGAACGAATCGCCAGTGCGCATTCGCCCGCTTGATATGATCCAAACTTTTACCCATGTGCCAATCGCTGTTTGTCTCGATGGGTGAGTAGTGCACTGGTTGTCCTACACCGTATTGGTCCATTGCAGCGATTGAAAGCAGCATATAGTTGTATCTACCGACAAAAGAAAAAACTGGTCAAAACCTGCCTCCTCCCTAGATTAAACCTGAATACAAATGACTACTTACTGGTTTGACTTGCGCGAGCAGTCCGTCTGCAAGATCTCAGGAAAACTGTCCGCCGTAGCCCACATGTGTCCGCTCGTGATCGAAATTGCTCCAGTGTCACCGCGTGCGCTTTCATGCACTGAAGATACGCTCGTGACCGGCTCCTCCTTAAATTTCAGAACCATATCGGCCACTGCATCATTGTCTGATAGCTTGACATCTCCAAATATAGCTCATAATCGTAAGTACATTCCAACACACATATGTGCTCACACTAATACCTGCCTTCTGTCTGGAACCGAAGTCGCAGCTGCTCAACAACATGTCGCGTTATAGCTAAGTTAGGCAACGCTCTTGTTGCTGCGCAAATATTAAATGACGACGTACCTCGTCTGCTATCCAGTTTCTAGCGCGCGGCTTGCGTTGTCGGGAAGGTTAAAAATCGAGCGGACTTGTCCCAGCTCAGCCTAACAGGCACATCATTCAATCCCACGCTGGTCGAGGCCGTTTCGCAGCCTGACGCCGAAGCAAGATGGATCATTACCCTCCTTTTCTTGCTAAACCCAATGCCAGCAAGGTCCCCTGCTGGATGCCGAGCTGCAGTGTCTCGTGCCTTGCACTCAAGGCCTAGGAGAAGAGAGACAACAGATCAGCAACAGCTTGGTATTAGCAGCACTTGAATATTCTTCGTGTAGTGCCGACGAACCTGCACGCGGCGAAGAGGTTGCTTGGCTGTCCGTCCACTTACGTCGCGGGGCAGCCGCCGTTCAATTAACGGTTTGGGTTTTGATGAGTTGTTGGACCGTGACGGGTTCTCCTCTTGAAACCGATATCGTCTTGCAAGGTGCTAGACTTAATCCGTGAGCTGTTTCGTTTGGATGTCATTTTCTGGTCTACGCTATTCCAAAGACAATCTTAAAAGAAACAGGGCCTAAGCTTTGTGAGCACATTTTCTAGTATTTTTACAAAAAATCTGTGTACGTAGCCGACCAGCCTGCCATTTCTGGGAAAGATGATGCTTCTCATTTGAATTTCATTTTAGGAGGTTCGCGGCTGTGCGCAGATCGTCTCTTTGTAGCATCTCTAAACCGCTTAGAATCTCTGTGAATGTTTATGTCGCGCTACTATCAAAGTGCCAACAACATGCAGCCCACAACATGAAGCACGCCGCCACATGTCTTTATGTTTATGCAAGTAATCTAACGCTCATTTACTTGATAGAATTTGATATTTCCTCGTACCTAAATATATCATTCACGCGACTATTTCCGCAGTTAGTTTTTCTGTGTGCTCCCTCGATTGTTTGTCCTTATTACGTGGACATTTAAGCTCAAATAGGCAGTACAAGCGGGTAAGTAGTGCAAGCTGGTCTGTTAAAGAACCGCGCACAGAATGTTCGAGTATTATAGGAATCATAAAATCTACTCTCATTATTAATAGCTGCTAATACAATCTCGGCAATCACTTACGCGCTTTATTAAGCCGTGTTCAAGATTCGAATCTAAACTTTCACTATACCCAAGTAATTTAGACCGAAAGCAGGCCCTGAGCGACCGATCATTATTTTCTTCCCTAAACCTGTTTAAAATGTTGTGCTTGAAAACACAACATTTTAAATACTGCAGGACAGAAGAAACCGACAACCCACCTTTTCGTCAATAGCTCAGCCAAGATTTGGTCTCTGTGGCTGTGCTTTCGATATGTTACTCCTTTTGTACAGCATAAAAGCTTATTTAAGCTAACACTCCAGTTTTTGTGGTGCGTTGAATACCCCCATACAACGTTTTTTGGCGAGGAGGTCCAAGCTTCCAGCCAGCCGAAATTCATTTAAAACTCTAAATTAATAGAATGATGGTCAGCAAATGCGGTTAGACACCGCGCCTCCAACCGTTTGCGCTCCCACCAATATGGGGATCGCGAGAGCTGTAACTACCTGCTCACTTGCTTTTTTGCAGCCGCATAGACTCGGGGCTAACCAATGTAGAGAGAGGAAGAGTCCAAGGTCTTCGTGAGGCAGGGAAGTCAGTGTCCAACCAGCTAAAGCTGTCCATCTAGTAAAATTTGCAATTTCAAGGAAAGTCAAACGCTCTAGAGACGCAGTTGATCGTGCGCTGCTACCTCGTAGTGCCACCCGTTCAGGACGTAAGTCGTTTATCACGGAGAAACTCGCCCGACGACTGCTTCGCAAGGCTGCATCAGAGAGCTTCTCGGCACTGCAGCTCAAGGGTCGACTGCAACTTCACTTGCTCGGTGCGAGCGATCAGGCGTCGGCTAGCTGACGTCGACTTGCTAGTAAACTCAAAGATGGAAACCACTCTTCCGCTCACCGAAATGCACAAAACAAAACTCGTCTAGCGTGGACCAAAGGCATGGTTGTTGTTTCAAAGGAAACAAGTTACTCAATTATTTTTTTTCGGACGAGAAAAAACATCAATTTGGACGACCCAGATTAGCTACAGCAGTATTGGCACGACGTCCGCCACCCATTGCAAACCACAATGCGCCTTCAAAATGGCGGATGCTCCGTCATGGTGTGTGGAGGATTTAGCTCTTAGGGTAAGTCTGAGTTGGCTGTGCTCGTGTCCGACAAGCTTCGGCGCGGTATATCTATTTTGGCAGAGTATTTGATACATTTTGCGAATTTAAAATAAGGTGTGGATTTTGTGTATCAGCAAAATAGCGCATCGATTCACATGTCGCAGGAAGCGCGGGAGTTGTTAGTCCGGTCCAGGTTTTGTGATACATTGATTATCCAGCTGTATACCCAGGTAAATACCAGGGGGGGTAATCAGTAATTTATTTTCGCATTTTGGCTCTGCCTCCCAGCCACCACGTTGGCGCCACGCGCTCGACTTCGACCCGGGGCATCCCCGATATCACGCACGCACGACACCACCAACATCAAGACGCAGATGGCTGAGGAGGATCGGGCAGAGGAGGAGGCACGCAGGCTCGAGAAACAACGCTTAGACCATCATTCCAAGTGCAGCACGACTCATGGGCCACACCCGAAGTTTGTTTGAAGGGGTACATGGAGACTACGCGGCAAACGCTTGTCGTCAAAGAAGTGAATATCGTGGCTTGTTGAAGCGCAGATCTCCGTAGCAAGTACGCTACCGCGGACGCATGGACTCGGAGATTCCTCTCGTCCCACAAGAAATTGGCTCCAGCGCAAGCACATTAGCACGCATGAATGGCCTCAGCGAGAGAGGTCTACAGGCAAGCATACGTCACACAAACTTAAATCCATCGAGTGTCCTTTCCAGATGCTGGCTCAAGTCGCAAAGTGCGGCGATGTAACGTGGGCTATTAAGATAAAAATTTGAGATCTACAGTCACAACCACAGGAGCTCAGAAAAAATATTTACAGGTCCTATTCAGGTATTCGCCAGGTTTTAGTGGAATCACCTTTGGTGTCTAAAATCGAGTTGCTAGTGGAGTGGAACGTCAAGGGCTTACAGCTACATCCGCGAAAATTCCAATCACCGCGTGGCAATGGATGATGTTTGAAACCTGATTTTGCGGATAAAGCACCCTCTTTGTAGGCTTTCTTTAACAGGGCAATACAGATGACAAAAGAACAATTATACGGTGGCGGCGGCTATATTAAGCACTAAAAGGGACTGGAAGCCGTGTCGTGGGTGACTGAAAACACCCACCGCACAATATAAAGTACGTTAGCGAAAAGTGTTGTGACTTCATACTGTTGAAGCTCCTTCGACAGGATTGACTTTTTCTGCTGTCGTAGAAACTTGTGAAGGAAGATACCAGGACTGGTAATAATACGGAAGACCCTACATCTTACCCTGCGTATTAAAAAGTACTGATTGAATGTTTGGTCCGCACAGTGGTTTGAACGGCACCGCTACAGCCGACAGTGAGAGGCACCTTACGACGGTTTGTGCCCCAACAGCAGTCGAGTCTGATAGCGAGGACGAAGACCAAGGGAGCTACGGCGTCGGACACGATTACGGAATTGTCACTACCGTGGAAGGGTCCAGTAATAGACGCTCCGTGTTCTCTCCGACCCCATCCAAGAAGACAAAAAAAGGATTCGGTCCTATCAACCTTGGCATCATCCATGTCAACTCTGGTGGACCATATAGTTGTCAAACCTTCGGGAAAGAGCGAACTGAAGTTACGTCTGTCCAGACAGACTTCGCATCGATGCGCGAGGATATTCTTTAAGTTAGTGGTTGTGTGGCGGGAATGGCTGCGAAAATCGACGCGGTGGCTGACAATATTGCATCCACCGTGCAGAAAGCGGTTATAGGAAGTATGACAATCTCAAATCACGCAAATGTAAGAGTTTTATGGTATTAAACGCTCACTGACTTTACTAACTCACTAGCGATATAATTGCATTTATTTGCCCTTCTAGCAAGTCCTCCTTTACGTCCTCCTCGACCTGAAACACTTTCAGGTCGCCGCCACTGTTATCGTTGTGTAGAAGCATTTCGTCATGCATGCTGCTGTTGTGCTCGCCTCGGACAGCTGTATCCAGCTCCTCTAAGGTGTTGCGCTCGAATGTAAGTGAAACATTGTGTAACACGAAGCAGCTTGCATTTACTTTCCCAGCTTCGATATCGCTGTTCATGTCGAGTTCTCTTCGTAGTATCCGGAAACGGCCTTTAAGTGCCCCAAACGCCAATTTAACCGGGATGCGTGCTCTTGAGTGCGCTTTGTTGAACTTGTTAATTGCAGGATTATCTCGCTGGTTGAGTGCGAAGGGTGTTAGCATGCGCGTACCCAGTATCTCCATACTGAACGGTAGCCGTTGCCTCTCGTATGTACCCACGATGCTGCGTTTCCACATAGACGGATCGTTGCAGCTTCCTGGGCGGAGAAAACACCGTGAATCGCTGATGGGCATCAACAATTGCCATTGCGTTATAAGCGGGAAACCCTTTCTACAATACCAACCCCAAAACTCCTGCTTGGCGAGACCACTTGATTAGTGTTCCGTCAAAAGCCCCGGCAGCTCCTTCGATTCCGCATACGCCTTCAAATCCAGAACTACCTCAGACCACTCACATGCATGTCTTGGGTAGAATTTTAAAGCGCTCGCGTTCACTGAAGAAAATAAGTATGATTTGAGCTAGTGCTCGCGGCCCTGTAGACTTGCTGACACCAAACGCTTGGCACGCATCCTTCAGACTTCCGCGCGATCCGAGATAGAACATCACTTGAGCTATCTTCTCCTTTAGGAAAAACTTCCGATTCTCTCCTACAGAGTTAGGATTGCTTTTGTAATATATAGGCCATTTAGAATGTGACGAATGCCACAATAGCGTCGGAACACCCACTCCCTATGCGGAAAGCATTTCTAAAGCTGGTATCGTCTTGCCGCTGGTCATCATTTTTTGTCTAAAGAAATTGGCTCTTACCGTGTAGATGTCTGTGTTTTCAGCTCGCACGCTTCTACCATCCACATTGAGTAGTAGACCGAATGCACACAGCATGACACATGCGACACCAACAGCTAGCTCGTGTTCCATGAGTGGTGTCAAATGGAGAAAGTGTCTACGTCGTGACCAACCACTCTTATACAGGATAATCTCGGGGACTAAGTTTATTCTGACTCTGAAGGTCAGAATAACTTTACGCCAAGAATAACTTATTAACCAATAGTATTTACGCGTTTAGCCCGGCGGCTAGGGTAAGAATATCTCTCGCTATTCTTATTCTAGATATTTCGAAATGAAACAGGCCCTTAACGCGTCCGGTTGCGGTGCTCGCATCGAGTAGATGAATGTCATTACCTTCGTGACAGTTCCACGTAATCAAGTTTAAGGTAGGAATCTAGCTGGTGTAACTTATAATCGAACGCAAGCTCCGTTTCCGCAGGTACTCCACTTTCCAAAATTCCCTTTTTAGATGCGTTTTTCGCCCTTATTATCTGGATCGCATGCTAACATGTATATGCACGCGTATACAATTTGTTATGATCGATGTTAGAGTCACACTATGATTGTGTGTCTTCGTACTTAAGTGCATTTAAAAGCCACCACATGGGCACACATAGGTGTGTCCAGGAAACAAAGTCACAAAAGGCACACGTTGAACATAAAGTACGTAAGTTAAATTCATAAATGTTATCAATCATAGACTTTCTGGGGTGTATGCGCATACATCATCGAATCTAATTGTAGCTTGAATGTAGCACGTACACTGGTTCGAAATGAAAGTTACGTGAGTGTACAATTGTCTAAGTGTTTTTTACTGGCATGTCCTGTCGCGTCACTACCCCTGCACGGAGGCCAATAGCATGAAAAAAGATAGAGTCAAATACAAGTTTTATCGGCGAGAACCAAGGTCGTGTCTGTCGTGTCGCTACGCAGTTTATTATTCTTGCGGGAAACACATATAAGTAAGGAAAAAATGAGTTATGCGTATAAGACGTATCCTTTCAATGGTGTGTATTTAAACAATTTAGCCATGCAGTGACTTCAGCAAATACCGCAACCGAATATACCGCAGAATGGTCTTTGAAACAGATTATTGCAATGCCGCGCACTGTACACTCAAAGAAGTGCAATACCAGTGGCCCGCAGCTGACTCTGTCGCCTTGTTTCAGTGACTTCACGTGAATGATTGACATCAGGGATATCTTCTCAGGAAATAAAACCCTTCGGATACTTTCGACGACATGAAACACACAAAGTAGAATCCGAGCACCAGGAAACTCTGCACGAAGAAGCGAAATTTCACCAAAATCTTTGTCATCAATGATGACACGAATTTTATCCCAGGTAGGATTGGATATCTTGAAAGAAGTGACGGCGTCCGTAAGACATTCAGCGCTCCCATTTTCCATCAGTGAATGTTGAACATATTGTCCCTATTTCACACACAGATCACAAAAAGCCACAATGAGGCATCAAGAATCACAAAAGCCACGATAAGGCACCGAGGGGCACAAAGCGACCCAAAAGACTCAATGGCACACTGAGTCACAAAGAACCACATAGTTGTCACTTACATGGCCGAATACGTCATGAATCATAAAGCTAAACAGCTTATACCGAGCGCCATTGGTGTTGTGGGTGGCATCCACCACCATCACTTCTGGAAAAGCCTCAAAGAAGCGGTGCATCTGATGAGTCTGAAAAGTGATCGTCTGAGCCAGTTTATCTTTGTCGACATAGACCGTAGCTGCGTTTCCCTTCTGCCTCTGCGTGGCCTCATCAGCGGCGTTGGAATCCGAGGCAGACGCGGAGCTGTTCATATCTCCGATGACGGCGAGCTTCTGCAGCGCTTTCAAATCTTTCAAAATGAAAGGCTGTAAGGCGCGAAAAGAGGGGAGGGGTGAAAGGGGGGAGAGGGCGTGAATTTTTGAAATCCGTGGCAGCTCAAATGTAGAGATTTATATATCTTCGTAGCCGTTTTCTTATCGTAAATTACCAAAACTCATAGTGTGCACTTTCATTTCACTTCAATACGAAATTCGACCACTTAAGTACGATCTGGGCTTTCGAAATGTGTTATTGAATTCGACCAACGGCAAATTTGGTCGGAATTCACAATACTTGCAATTCTAGCACTAACGACGTCAGAAGTGCTAGAAACTTGAGGGTATCACTACTCCGAAGTAATTTGAAAAAACAACGAGGATTGTCTGTAACATTTTTATTGCTGTGAAAAATGCGGATAAACAATACGGAAGAAGAACATGTAGCTCCATCGCGTCGTGAATACCGCGTTGCCATGATTCGACTACGTGTACGATAAGCAATCCACTGTGCTCCCTCGGTGGCTTCTATTCAGGTATGTAGTACAGTAGCGTAAAACTCTCTCCTACTTATCTTGAAGAAGCAGTTTTTCCATCCTACTCCCAATTTCACGAGCGTTTTCGGTGCCCGAGTCAAGTAAAAAACCGGTAAACTGCTGTGCAGCCACGTCCTGTGTCGATTTCGAGCGAAAGTGCATTGGAACGTGGCGCATTATCGTTCGAGTTAAAGTCTCCGATACCGGTGAATCCGATAAGGGGATCGACACGCACCATCCCGATTCATCCGCGTGCATGCCAGTAAAAATTCCCTCTCCTTCGGTAAACAACCGCCAAACGATTACTAATCGAACGTCTCGGACGTAGCGACGAACTACCGCACGCTCCAGCACCGACACGGATCTCCCCGAGTTGAGACGCGTGCTGACTCGAAATTTAAATGCCGACGTGCTCTCGGGATCGTCCACGCCGTCAAAACGTTCTCGGTCTTCCTGACGGTGTTGCATCTGTGCCACTAGCCACGTAAACCGGCAAACTTGCTGAAAGGCAAATGGCAAGACGTATTTATCGGTGTAGACGTAGTATCCCGCCTTCCCATCCTCGTTCCACTGTCGTCTCGGATGATCCCAACTGGCATCCGTTGCGTCCAAGCCATAGGTCTTTAAAACCTCATCCGTCTGGGCATAGAAATGGTCTAATTCCTTTACGTACGCCTTAAAAAACTCAGCATCCGAAGGTTCGAAACGAATCCTCTTGTGCTGGTGTGTTGCGTCATCGTGAACATGGCTGACTCTTGTCTGTATGGTGGCTTGGAACTCGTGGATGAGAGCAGCTCGGGACTCAATAGCTGTATTGAGTCGACGCTGCGTCTCCTCGGCGTTGACTTGAGCCTGTAGTTGCCGTTTTGCCACTATTTCCCACGCCGATGAGGCCAGAGACCTCGCGGCATCTTTGGCTTTTTGGAGTTCTGTTAACTCGGTCGAGAGCTCCCCAATCTGTTGCTGCAGCGTCTCCTTAGCTTCTCTGCGTCGCTCTCTATACAAACTGCGTCTCTTGCGGTCTTGTGCCTTTTCCAATTCGTGTTTGGCAACTGGGTCGAGCAACTGTTTGTTTCTCTTTTTGCCTTTTGCACTCTTCGCACCGTTTTGTGGCAACGCGACGATTTCTTTCTTCACCGCTTCAGAGGGAGACGCTTCGTCGCTGTTCTCGATGTTGGTGAGCGACTGAAGCGTCGGGAATATGGGCAGATCGAAGGACACGAGGAAGTCTTCCACCTCGCCCAAGAACGCCGCGTCCTGGCTTGACATGGCAACTGCAAGAGTGTCCAGTAAAAAAAATTTGTAAACATGTGCAGAATGATTGTGAGTGGGTGATCCATGCATGATGATGGGGCGTTATTTACAGCGTTATTTTCACGTTCACTCACGCTAACACTGTTTACATTCACCACATGTTTTAATGAGCCTCCTACTTGCCCACGACGGAATTCGTTTTGGCGTATCCTAGCTTGTGCAACACCTTCCGGATATCATCCAGTACTGCAACGTTGTCGATGGTGGCTGGCACACGGAATGGCGCCGAGTCGGCAACAGCTTGGATCGTCGCGCGCATGACCTTGCCAGAGCGAGTCTTGGGCAGTGCGTCCACGAGTCCGACATCCTTTAGACACACGAAGCTGCCCATCTGCTCACGCACATCGCGCACCACTTGCTCAATGATCTAGTATCGCACACAAATCGGCAAGTTAGCAGGTCGTTATGGGGTTACAGGGTACGGAGTAAGTGTACCTCTTCCTTCGAACGATCGATTTTCTTGTCAATCACCAGAAGAGCGACCGGGACGTGGCCCTTGAGCGGATCTGCTACGCCGAACTGCACTCATTAAACGATAAAGTGAGAATTTTACTGCTAATATGTCCTCAATCTTCAGAAGTACGTACCACCGCGCACTCGACAACCTCCGGAATCTCGATAATCACTTCTTCGATCGATCCAGTAGTGATACGGTGGCCCGCAACGTTAATAACATCATCCGTCCGTGACATCACCTAACAGTTAGGATAACAGATAAATGTTAACTGGGTTAAAGCTCATAGCAACGTTCACTTACGTAAACGAATCCTTCTTCGTCGATATGTCCGGTATCTCCCGTGTGGTAATAACCCGGGAACCGCTTGAAATACTTGGCATGAAAGTCGTCCGGGTTGTTGTGTAGAGTAGTCAGAGCACCTGCATCGATGACAACGACACGTTAGAGCAACATTACACAACAAACGAGGACGAATCCGTACTGTACCTGGAGGAAGAGGCAGCTTGACCACCAGCTCGGCATCTTTCTCTTCTTTCTCGTGGTTGTGGCCATGGTTCTCATCGTCGTCGGCGTTATCTGCCGTCAGAAGTTGGACGTCCCAGCCAGGCACCGGACGAGCTACTGAGCCCACTTTAATACGCGGAAGGCCGTCCTCTGTAAGATCCTCGTTCTGCATGCCTAGGCACGGGGCCGTGATCGGCCATCCAGTCTCCGTTTGCCACCTGATCAAGCCGTAAATCCACGTTTAGTAGCGGAAAATCGCCCCTCTAGCCACGAGATAAGCTCACCAGTGGTCGATTAGAGGAACACCGAGCTCCTCTGAGAAGAAGTTGAACGTCTTGGGGTCTCCACGCTCGCCAGCTACGAACATCGATCTGGATGTTAACATAACAAGTTAAATTGCTCTTAACTGATAATCGGTTGGGAGAAACACGTACTGGAACGTCTTGCGGATCTCGTCTTTCTTCTCTTTCAGCAGTGCAGCATGTGGGTCTTCCTTTCGGATCGCTCGTAACGCAGTCGGCGCAGTAAACATCGACTTGATGCCGTACTCCGTTATCAAACGCCAGTAAGCTCCAGCATCCGGTGTTCCAACCGGTTTACCGGCATACAAAACCGACTGTAAATACCATTTAACTGTTAGCAACGCTTATGACGCCATATCATTGTTTCAAAAGCATACCGTGCAGCCATGTACCAGGGGGCCGTATACAACAAGTGAATGCCCCACTGTCCAGCCCATATCGGACGCCGCGAAGAACGTGTCGCCTTGCGTAATGTCAAACACATTGCGCATCGCCCATTTCAGTGCAACAGCATGACCGCCATTGTCTCGCACCACACCCTTCGGACGTCCGGTAGTGCCGGATGTATACAAGATGTATAGTGGGTCTGTTGCAAGCACAGGCACTGCGTCAACAGGATTGGCCATTGCCATGACATCTCTCCAGTCGACGTCACGTCCCTTGGTCATGGGGAAGGGACAAAGGTCGCGTTGCATCATGACAACTCTGCTGGGTTTCCAGCTCGAGCGCTCGAGCGCACCGTTGAGCAGTGGACCGTAGTCGATGATGCCCTTGGGCTCCACACCGCAACTCGCTGAGATGATGATCTTGGGCTTGGCATCTTCGATACGAGCAGCCAATTCCAGTGTCGCAAACCCGCCGAACACGACAGAGTGGATAGCTCCGAGACGAGCACAAGCGAGCATAGCCACGGTTGTCTCCAGTACTGCCGGCATGTAGATGACCACGCAGTCTCCCTTCTTCACGCCAAGTTTCTGTAGTCCTCCAGCAAAGGTAGATACTACAGTTAAAGGGGTGACGTGAGAGGGTTATTGATAAAGGTTAAATAGATAAAATGCTGGTTCACCTTCTTTTAGTAGTTGACTGTACGTCATGGTGGTCTTCGTGCTTGTGAGTGGGCTGTCATAATAAAGCGCCACGGCATCGCCCCGTCCGTTGTTCACGTGTACGTCCAGTGCGTTGTAGCACGTGTTTATCTCACCCCCAGCGAACCATCTCGACGATGGTCCTGACGTGCTACAATCGAAAAGTTAGATTGGGTAAATTATTACCGTTCATGCGAGGGCGTCTATCGTTTTGCGTACGTATCGAGCGTTTTGGACCAGGGCTTGAACCACTTGATGTCTTGCGCTGCTTCGGCCCAGAACTCCTCTGGTTTCTCGAGGCTGCGACGGTATTGTTCCGTGTAGCTAGCGATTTCTCGGCGGGCCGAGAGACGCAGATGATGTGACGCGATGCGCTGGTGCGACAATGCCCGTAGCATGCTGGCGGGGAGAATGGTTGTCGCGACTGGGGCGCTGCTGGTTACGGAGCAGAATCCGGAATGAGCGACGTTGGCAAACTTCAAGGTGATGTGGTACCGGAGGCACTACCGGTATAACCGATCCTGTCTATTGCTGAAGGCACCGGATCAGTGCTTCTAGCCACGGGATGCCTCTTCGATCGGGACTGTACGTTGCTAAATTGACATGGCTACACTTGTACATGTAGTACGGGGCGATTTCGATCATCGAATCGATGGGGTAATTTTGCAATGCTAGCAAGGTTCAGTCCTAGCTGTCGACAAGGTGGTTTCGCGTGGCACTTGAAGTTGTGTCAAAAACGTGGCCGCACGAAACAATTTCAAGTGCGCGTGATGCCGAGGTCTCGACCCGAGTGGCTAGTACAGCGATAAAGGATACAATAACATGTACCAGTGCAAGACTCGGTTTCTGCGTAGAAGACCTTAGCTTACTTGTTTTTATGTCTTGCATATACAAGCAGCAATGGAGGTCAATCGCCAGGTATACATGTAAATGCATCCATGCAACACATCTCGCATCTCGTGAAGGCGACAATCTGAATCCGATTCGGATGGGATTAACAAGTCAAGGTTGTTAAACAGCTTCAACTTAGCCGGATGGATCACTTTCCTCCATCAACTACATGTACGTGTAACATGTCGCTGTCACTACTCGTATATTTGTGAGCTTGTACATGTACTTGTCCAACAGAAAACGTCAACTTTCCAGCCCGAAACCCGTTTAATCGTACTTAGTGAGAGTAAAACCGGTATCATCAGCGGCACTTCCACAAGATCGCAATGATTATCCGCGCTGTGAGTGACAGCGACAGCGAAGAGGAACTGCTGAGCGCTGCCCAGGCTGCATCATCTCCTCGTCGTTCTGTATTCGATCCTCCGGACGTCACTCACTCTTCAACTAAAGGCAATGCCGCTCGATACTCGTGGTTCGTGGCTTGTGGGACGCTAGTATTGCTGCTACTCGTGGACTTGGCTGCTGTATTCGACCCTTCTCCCGACGCCTTCGCGCTGCTTCCGCTGCTAATACCCGCGCTCTTCTACCATGAGACCATCATTCTTTATCCCACTGCGTCCATACTCAATCAATTCGTCGGCTTGGCGCTCGTCGGCGTCTGGATCTACACAAGAGAGAAGGGTTTCGCTGCTGGGAGCTCAGCGCAATGGCTACGCAACGCCCGCTACGGTCCGTTAATAGTGGGCGCCCTATTGTGTCTGGGCCACGTGGTGTCGTGTCTGTATCTTCTCTTCGCGCTTCTTGAGAGCAACGGAGACCACACCAAGTTCTGGATCGGGCGTCAGCACTCCAGACACAGTACAAGTCCCTATGGACGCGTCTAGTGACCGACTGAAGCTCTAGCTGCTGTCTTGGCTGCTCCAGGGTCCAGAACTTGGTCTAGAATATCTTTGATAGAATTAATCTGCATATTATCCGCCTTCTTCCAGAGTTTATAATTCTGATGCGCCTGATCCAGAATTGTTTTAAACTCGGGTCGGAATACCGCTTCGGCCACGACTTCAAAAAACGGTAACACGATAAACTCAAAGAATCCGACCTGGTTACGAGCGCTATTCTCGCTGTTACGGTTCATGAACGGCGAGATGTCCATCCCCAGAGTGTATTCGTCGTCCCCCTGCAAGAAAAACTCTTCGATAATGAGATCCGACCAGCGGGCGTGGAGCTTCAATGCCTTGGATGAGTGACCGAGGTCCGCACACTTGATAACGATCTTCATAAGCAGCATGGGCGAGTGTTCCACCTCTGCATCTTCCTGAGATATCAGCGCTGTCTTCAAGCTCCCCACAAGCTGCAAATGAACAGTAAGATCGGTCGATAACACCATCTCAACGATGGCCTTGCGTACTTCACTGAACTGGCCAGGCGACAGCCCCACAAAGATGTTGAAAAGTGGGTCTTTCGCTAAGAAAAAGGCTTCGGCTAAGTGCATCCGTTCCAGAACGGACGAGTCGCTGAACTCGATGGCCAAGTCACTGCCACTCTTGATCATAAAGTTGTTGTTCTTGCCGGGGTGTCTGAAATCGTGGATAGCGGCAGCAATGATCGCTGCAAATACCTCCTGGTATGTTAGTAAATCCTGCAAGTAGCCATTGTCCATGACCGAGATGAGATATTCCACCGAACTCACGACATCTGCAGCGTGGCAATTATTATGCTGCACACAAAAGTACGCCAGTTAGATTTTTAGAAGACGACAGAGAAGTGGGCCCGTACGTAAGGGTTGCGGTGGTATCCGATGTCCAAGAAGTAAAGAAAGTTAGCTAGGGTACTCTTATTGACGGAGCAGAGATCGAAGAGGTTATGTTGCTCGAATGCGATGTACGTGATGAACGAGATCGGTTTGTTGTTGGTCAACCTTGCCACTCTACGAAACCAGAACAAATTAGTAAACTAGAGATATACAGCCATAATCTAGACGTACTCGAAGGTGTCGACACTCCATCCGTCACGTTCCATGAGTTCTCCAACAGCGTTCAATACTTCATCAGTCGGAGCTGTAACTTCAGGGTGCAGTCGTGTTTCACCAGCTCGATTGGTGCTACTGTTATTGGTGGGACTTATAGAGACGCTCGTGTTGCTAGAACTCGCAGTCATACTCCTCTCTGACTCCTTAATACTGGTATTAGTGGGATTCTCGACGCTGTTCTGGAACACGGCGGAGGCTCGACGATTGCGCGTGTAGGATTTGTTGGCAAGAACGGTAGTAGCCCACGACTTAATGTCGCCGTCCAAGTCTCCGTCACGTTTCATCTTAAGCTGCTCGTGGATGTCTGGGGCGAAGAGATTTTGACCTTTTCGCATCAGTAAAGTGACGATTCCGTCCAGATTTTCACGAAGTTCCGGTGACAATTCAGTGGCGCGTTGCAAGGCCTTGAGGTCGAGCAGAACTTTGGCCATCGGCGAGTCAAAGTCTAGCGGTGGACTGCCATCTCCATGGCCACCTACTCGTTCTTCGAGCATTTTCTTAAGACTTTTGTTCTCATTGAGGATGATTTCTTTCTGCAAATGTGAAGCACGTGCTCGCTCTTCGACGATCTTAGCGTGTAGGAAGTTGAGACGCAAGAAGCGATCTATCTGGCGTACACGAACAACGAGTACTGCCGATACACAAACCAGTATAAAGATCAGCAGGAACTTGTTGACCACAAAGACAGTCGAACTTGAGGGAGGGTATTGAAGCGAGACGACAATGCAGAACTCCAGGTTAATACCGAAAGCCAGAAGCAGATAGTGGAACGCGTCCAGCTTGAACAGAGGCGATACAAGCAGCACCACCAATGGTCGCAGCAAGTTCATGTTCAGATGCGCCATAGGGATCGCCACTACCTCAAGCGTAGCATTAGTGAAGATCTCTGAGCCAGCAAAGTATCTTTAAACGTACCTCGATTAATATATGCCAACACGAGATCTCTTCCTGATGACTCGAGGTTCTGATAGATCCACCACTCGGTAGAGCCGTCCAATAGAATCGTGTCGTTGTTCGAGGAGGTGTCGAGCCCCTCGGAGTGTCTCCTGTCGTCCGTCCCATGAGGTTCGTCATGGAAAGCTAGCGAGAAGAGCGACTTCAAGTCTTTGAGAAAAACTCGGGTATAGTCGTCCGCGTTGATGAGCCCCTGGCCTAGAATACCGGCAGCGAAGCAGTGTGCGATGAGACACAGTAGAGTTTGTTCGTGACCGACAAAGTATCTCGAGCGACAACATGCTACTAGTGTGGGCACAGGGAGGTAGATGAAGGCGGAGACCCACAGTCGCAGTCCTGAGGCTTCTCGGACATCTGGATCGTCGTCGTAGAAGCCCACCCAATCAGGTGTACTAAGCGTGATCCAGATGAGCCAACACACTAGACTGGCGTAGAGCGCAGGAGCCAGGTTGGTTTCGGTGTAAAAGGCTTGGAAGTCGAGCTCCACGAGCGGATCCTTCGTAAACGAGTTGGTAACATAGTGGAAGCCATACTTCTCCTCCATGGCCTTGGTCAATTTAATGGCCTCACTTCGATCAGCTGCGGATCGTGGGAAGATCAAAGTGGATACAGGAACTCCCAGCGAGCTGCGTCGCGCCATGGACGAATGCAGCGTCATAGCCATATTCTCACTGATGTTACCCAGCGGCGTGGGTGCTATCATTATGAAGTGGACGTCGGTCTAGACGATAGAGACGACGAAAATGGAAGTGCCATCGAAATGTGGAGCCATTTCTGTAACAGATCAAATGTAGCCATTTTTTTTAGCGCTCACTCGGAGCCCTAACCATAAGAGGTACCATCATTTTAGTGGCGTAACAGGTACATTCGGTGACACAATTTGTGGTACCAGTCATTGTCACGACGTTGCCTGCCGGGGGAGAAAAAACACAAGCCAACTCGCCCGCGGACGAAACGTGCCCTCCCTCTCTGTCGTTCGCTGCGTCTGGGAGACTCTCGAGCGCCATGGAGACGGAATGCAAGACGCTGTGGATGGGCGACATCCAGATGCACTGGGACGAAGCCTTTATCACGTCGCTCTTCTCCTCGGCCGGTGCGTCTTTAAAGCCTCGAAAAGAGAGCTTCAACTCAAAAGAGCTCACGACGTATATGACCCATTCTATGGTTGTTTTTTTATCATATTCGACAGCCGAGCAGCCGGTGGTCAAGTTGATCCGTGACAAGGTGACGGGATACCCCGCAGGCTACGGATTCCTCGAGTTCCCGACACAACAAGGGGCTCAGCAAGTGCTGGAGACGCTCAACGGGCAACTTATCCGTATGGCAACACTTCGTTTCTTTGCAAATACTTTTCTTTATTATCTGTAACAAAAAATCTGATAATATGTAACATTTTTCTTATTTCGACTAGCGAACACGATGCACCGGTTCCGGATGAACTGGGGCGCTGGCGGACGGCGGATTGAAACATCAGACGATCACTCGATCTTTGTGGGCGACTTGGCTCCCGATGTTACGGACGAGCTGCTGCTGGCCACATTCAACGCTCGCTTTACCACTGTGAGAGGCGCCAAAGTGGTCATGGACCCGGTGACGCGCATGTCCAAGGGCTTCGGCTTCGTGCGGTTCGGCAGTAAAGAAGAGGCGGATCAAGCGCTGCAGACCATGAATGGCGTCTATTGTTCCTCTCGTCCCATGCGCGTCAGTGTAGCCACCGAGAGGAACAAATCTCGACAACAAGTTGGCTTCACCATGGGGGAGGAGGAAGGCACCAACACGACGGTGTTTGTGGGTGGATTGGACCCTGCCACGACGGAGGATGAGCTGCGAGCGAGGTTTGGAGCGCTAGGAGCGATCGTGTCGGTCAAAGTGCCGCCTGGACGTGGCTGTGGCTTCGTGCAGTACTCGTCCAAGGAGGCTGCGGAAGTAGCCATCTCGCAGATGAACGGGCAGGCTGTTAGTGGAGTCAAGGTGCGCTGTGCGTGGGGGCGATCGGCCGCAGCACGTGCAGCTAACCACACCAGCTACTACATCTAGCAGTACGGCCAGTATCAAGCTGGATTCCAGGTATGTGGGGATTGGAACAATTTTTTTTTGAAATGTTTTCAAATTAGTAACTTTTTACTATTTGGGGTACAGAACTACTATGGCTACAATGCTGCATATGGCTACCCGCAGTACCAACAAGGTGCTTATGGCTACAGTGCCTATGGTCAGTATGCCCAACAAGGCAACCAGCCTCAAAGTGGGTACCAACAGCAACAGCAGTCCATTGGGCAACAAGCACACCACGGCAACTACACGCAGCGTCAGCAACACGAGCAGCAACACGATTTCACGCGGCCCGACGACATTGAAGCCATGAATCGCCGCTTCGCCTCTCAACGTGCGTACCAGGTACACAGACAGCTGTGCTGCGGTCTGCTGTCCTCTGGTCTAATGTGTGGTTTGCTCGTGCTGTGTAGAATATTCCTCCGACTTCTAATGCGTCGTACACGCCGATGGGGGCGGATGTCTCCAATGGAACTGCGATGGCTGGGTCCATGTAAATGGGAGGAGAATGGAGCGAGAATTGCAGCCAAGAACGAGGAGAGAGACCCATTCACACGAGCGAGAGGTGACGAAGACACAATGAGGAAGGTGTGGAAGGTCTGCAGGAGACGGAAGTGAGCGAACGACATTTATTGGCACGGCGAGCGTGAAATGCTGATGAAGAGTTTGTGTTTTTTCGTTCTTTTCTTGTGTTTTCTTGTTTTTTTGTAAAATGGCATGTGAGTTGATCGTTCTGTAGCCATTTGCTCGGTTCACTTGGAAGTTTTTTCGTCCAGCAAGATCTGCGCCTCCTTCACTGCAGCTTGGAACTGCTTCAGCTGCTGCTTCTTGAAGGTCAATTGCTTCTTAAGCGTCTCCTGATGCAGCAGCAGCTCCAAGTGGTTCGATTCCAGGCGCTGCAGCTCGTTCTCGGTGTCCTCCATGTCGATTATTTAGAAAATGCATTCATGAGCAAAATGGGTACCTCATTTGACAACCGTATCCATTTCTAAATTACCAAAAAAAAAGCAACTTCAAATTATGACATTTTGTTTCATCAGTGTGCTGATTTGCTCCTTCTTTCGGAGTTTTGGGTATTCGTCAGGGTTCTCGTCCACTTGACAGCTTGATAGGTATGTTTTTCAAGTACTTAATGGTACTTCTCTTGTTTCTTAAATATCGACGGCGCGTTTGGTAGCGCCGGCCCGAGGCGTAACCAGTTCGGATAGATACGACAGATCGATGGGTTCTGCTCGTTGCGGCTCCAGCGCCAAGTCCAGCGTGAGCACTCGACTGCGTGTTCGCTGTCTCCATTCCTGGTTCGAAGTGTAGCTGGTGGGGCTGTACAGCTGCATGTTCTCCAGGCGTTCACGGACTGCAGCCGGATCGTCTCGTGACCCGTTACCAACCGAATCCGTCATGAAAATCGACGGTCGCTCGCCTTCCGAACAGACACTGGACTGCATCGCGTAGGTCGGAAGACTGTTCTGCTTGGATAACGCTGTCAATACCGACTCGGACAGCTTCCGGTCGCGGATCTCGGTAGCGTTCCGAGCTCGAGATTGGGACCGATTCGGACGGTCCAGTCCACTCAAGCTACGACTCGTCGAGCCCGTGTAGATCGCGCAAGACAAACACATTCGGTGGTTCTTCCCGCTTGCGTCAGCGCGATGGTAGCAGATGTCGACGCATTTCTTACACAAAATAGCATCGCAGAAGCGGCATCTCTTTGCGATCGTCCACTTGGAGACGCGCTCTCCGCAGGCCTTACAGTCGCGGCTGCCGTCTTTGCTTGAATTCGAAGAACCAGGAGCTTGTCGAGGCTTTAGTTGACGCATGATCTTAAGCACCTGGTTGAGATTATCCGCCGCCCTCTTGTTCGAAGCGATAGCTTGCTGCACGACCCAGTTCGGAGCGCCTCTGCCGTCGATATGGATGAACATGACGTGTTCCAATACGTTCGGACGGTCAGTCTCTCGGAAGATCATGCCGGACACGCGCATGTACGTTCGCACCGGACCGTCCGGATGTTGCGACGCCGGACAACATAGGTGGTTGATGGATCGCATGCCGCGTGCCCACACCCGACGTCCCGTTTCACGGTCCACGAACGAGTCCATATACTCGAGGAAACAGACGTCTCTGCCGTCCGAGAGCTTGGACGGCGGCTTCCACAGCGACCAGCGCATGGCGGCGCCTCGCAACGGTTTGCTGTTCGAAGGTTTCTCGAGCTCATAGAGCCGTCGAGACCGCGCCGAGTCCAGTACCATTGGTACGCGTCCGTTCGGGTCTAGATACAAAGCGGCCACCTCCTCCAGTGTGCCGTTCAGCAGCGACGTCGTCCACATGGCCATGGACTTGCTGTTGCTGCCGCTACGATGCGCCACGTTGAACACTTCTCCGTCGCTTCCGAACCGAACGGCGGCATGTACGGCTGGGAACAGCGACTGGAACGCTGCTCTCGCGTCTCCTAGAAGGTTGTTTAGCTCTTCCTTGGGCAGCGGTAGCATTTCCAGCGCGTACGGGTGGTCGGGTGACCGTGAGTACGTATACTGCACCATCCTGTCAATACTTGGGGCTCTGCAGTCGTGATTCCGGAAGAAGAATGGGGACGGCAACGGCTTCGATGTTTGATCGGAGGAGAAGAGAGGCATCCATCTGTAGTCGTGCCAAGCGCAGGACGAGTGCATGTCCTACATGTTGACGTGGGATGCGCCATGTACAAGGTCGCTCTGTATTATTCGCAAACAGTTGGTCCGCCAGCACTGACAGAAGCGAGACGATGCGAGTGCGAGCCATGAGTTGGGTAGCTTCGTCTAGCTTCGTGATCCCTTTATGCCACTTTTCGCAGGTTCATTGTTGGGTGGGAGGCTCATGCTGCCAAAATACTCTTTCCTCGACGTTCTCGTTTGAGGTGTAGGCTCCTGTTGTTCTTTAATTTTGGAAAATGTAACATGGATGAGATTTCGGTGTATTTCGCGGATGGGTACTGAAGATATGAAGTCCGCATGTGCACCATATTTACAGAAGTCCTCTCAATAAGCGTCGACGGTCGTATGATCAATTTACATAGGTAATTACCAATGCTCGTGTGATTTGTCTAATGTGTCCCCAATTCAAATGATCCGATATAAAGGGGTATATGAAGTACAAGCTACGCTTATTCAGGGGAACTTCAGCACAGGTACACCGGTATTACAGTACAGTACTGCACCCCGTTTTCGCGCTTTAATAAACTTCCGGATGTGATGATCCTGAGTCCAATTGATCAATTGTTTGTCAGCTAAAATCGGATTTATTTGCAGATCCTATATGGTCCATCCCCGCGAAAACGGGGTGCAGTACTGTTGTAGACTTGTGTGTGTCGCGGAAGGGAACGCGAATTCGCTGCTGTGTTTATTGAGATTTGCATCGCCGATTGTTGAGAGTCGGCGAGCTTTCGATGCATCCGTGGCGGCCAGTAGGTTGACGGGTTACGTAGTGGCTTCGAAGACCTCGTTCGTTCCCGATCACGAATGTTGAAACCAAAGCTTGCTTTCAATATGTACTTCGAAGTATTTGCCAAGGAGAGCGTTGGTGCAACTCGCTGTCCAACACTTTGCGAGCATTACACACTGCATGATAATGCCACGGCGAGCAGAGCACCGTTCACCGGATACATTTCTTGCGAGCCACCACAGCCCGACTGGAAACTTCTCGCTGGTCAGCGCGAAATCAACTCCTGTACCTTCAGTGTACAAGCACTCGGGCATTTGGGCATCGTTATTAACAAACTTGTGAGCTCATGTTCAGGTCGCCGCGTATTCTGGTCAAATGGACTGCTCAGCAGTACGAATCGGTCTACGAGTGAAGCTTTGGCTGTCACTGGCGTCAACTGATGCGGATGACTGAACAGAACGGCCGCACAACGATCAAGTCACGACGCTCTCTACTTGCCGATTCCACTACGGCAAGATGCCGTAGAAGGCGTATGGAACAAAACGTGCAGCTCTCTTGCTCCATACTTTTTCAAACGCTACGTGTAAATTGTTGTCGGACTCAACCATGTCCATAGTCGATCACGTGATCACACCAAGGCTTGATAGACCTTAAGTCATGAACGCCGTCAACTCTTGCTTATGAGCATCTTGCAGTCACTTCATGCGTCCTCTTTGTTGCCTAGCTTTTACAAGGAGTGTCGTTAAGGTCCCACCAAATAAGGTCTGCACGTCTGCGTCCGCTGCAGTCGACATTACAGTCAGTAGCATGGGTACCGGTATCTGCAATCCTACGTCCAGGCATCAGTCAGTGACGGACAGTCACAGCAGTACCGGTCGAGAGAAACCGAGGTCTCAACCTCATGCACACGAGAATCCGTTCACGTCATTCTACGTCCTTAATCATTGCATTTCGATCCTCGCTCGTTTAATGTTTTTCAAAATACGACAAGTCCACCGCGGCGGTCGTCCGACATGGCATGACGACTCCGCGTCTCCTGCCTACATTGCGTCTGCAAGCTCTCAGACCCCGCTGTGCTCGAGAAGCTGCTAGTTAACATTCTCTCCGCTCTGTTCGAACCTGAAAGCCAAGTCCGCAGCTGTAAGACCGATGAGCATCTCCACCTTGAAACAATAAATGATACAGCCAACTACTTACGGGTTGAAACTTTCTGGTGAACTTACGTCGTCCGACTGGAGCGATACACTGGGCGGCAACGTGAGCTCCAACTGCCGGTTCGTTCGTGCCAAAAAGTTGTCCACGCAGTGTACACAGATCCGGTGGAGCTTCCTTCGCCCCTGGATCGCGCAGTACACCACGTCGCTGCAGCTCTTACAAATGAGCTATCATACACAAGACGTTTACTACCACAGAACAGCAAATAATTCACTACGTGTATCCGTTCTTACCGCACAGCAGTCTCGACACTTGCGGTGTCGTCCCCATTTCGGTAGTACAGTGTTGCATCCTACACACAACTTCGCGTTCAGGTGTTTCTCCTGTGCACCTGAATCCGGACCCACTCCCTCTTTCAGAACATGTTCCAGACGGATAAGATGCTCGAGGTTGTGCGGGTTCTTGGCCTTCCGGTTGGCCACGATCTTGGTCATCCAGGGTGGCACTCCCTGAGTATCAGCATCGTAGTACGTGACAGCTTCCAGGACTTTCGGATCGTCCGTCTCCGTGTACACCGTGCCGCAGCAATGTAAGAACGCTCGAACGATATTATGCGACCCCATAAGCGGCGGACAGCTTCGATGTTCTAACGACTGCGTCATCCGTGCCCATCCGCGACGTCCTCGTTCGTCCACAAATGTGTCCATGTATTCCATGTAGACGATGTCTCGCTGTCGGATGAGCGTCGACGGTGAGTGCCACAGAGACCAGCGCATCCCGCAACTACGGTACGGATGCTCATCCGAAGGTGCCAGGAACCGGTAGATCTGTTGCGACTGGGCAAACCCGATCGCTGCGTTCGTACGGTCTCCAAGGAACACGTCGACGAGTTCGGGAATCGTGGCGCGGATTCTCGTTTCGGCGCAGATCGTGGCGCGCGTTGTGCGAGCGAATGCGCGAACCTGCGTGGCGAACCCGTTCGCCTGTGCGAAGCGGACGTTCTTGAACAGCGTCTTGTACTGCTCGTGCGCGAGTTTGATAAGATCTTCGCGCTCGTTATCGTACAGCTGCATTGGCGTGAACCGGATGGGCTCCAATGCCGAAAGCATCTTTGTCCGATCGGTTCGCAAGTCGAATTTGGAAGATATGGAGACGACAGACAACGCTGTCACGATTGACTCCGAACTGACAATGAGCGAAGGCGAAGGAAGAGGTGACGCAGTCACGAGTCTTTGTGCTTTTGCTGAAAGCGGCAGCAGGAGTGGTCCGCGAGGTTGTCTGCCAATATCTAGGCCTCTACATGGTTGAACGTGACATTGTCAGCCCGCCATTGAGAGTCTAGAAATATTGGAGACCGTCGCATTACACTCCCTGACAAAGATATACCGGAGCCTTGGATCTGGCGCTCGCTCTCACTTTGAAGTATCGTGTCGTAGTTTTGCGTGATGCTGGCAAGCTCGAGCCATGTTTTATGATATCTTGATCGCCTTAATCTTAGTTTACAGCACAGTTTTTGGTTGAATAATTTACTACTTTTTTAATATACAGTACTGCACCTCGTTTTCGCGGGAATGGACCATATAGGATTTGCGAACAAATCAGATTTAAACATACAAATATTTATTTAATCGGATTCAGGATCATCACACCCGGAAGTTTATCAAAGGTCCAAGGGCGCGAAAACGGGGTGCAGTACTGTATCTGTAAATTGCAAAATATTTTCACGTACGTAATTTACCGCTCCCTAACCTTGTAGCCTGTCCGTCCGTCTGTCAATAAGTCCGTCCGGTCTGTATTTTCCTGCCTTTTCGCATGGCTACACTTGGCCTGTCTAATACAGTTTCGTCCCATCCTACCGACCGCGCCTACCTTTCTGACTCGACCTCACTATGCCAAAATTACAAATATGTCCAAAAGCGTCACACAATTAACTCGCGCCCTGATTGGGCAATACCTGCCGACCTGCGACACTGACTGGATCTGTCGCACGATCAGACCGCCTCTCGCCCTCGCGATTGGACGTAAGGTAAACATTTCTGCCGAGCACGAAACGCATCGATTGGTTGCAAACAGCCTGGCGAGCTGCGTTGACAATTCTAAATTTACATTTAGCTACGCAAAACCTGTCGTATGTGCATCAAATCGGGCACGCTAACCACCGCGTTTTGTAGGGGCTTTGCAAATATTATTTTTAACTTCTCCTGGCACTCTCCACTGTCAGCGTGCAAGAAGGCGCGCGGCCGCACGCTCATTGCGCTATCTGCTCCCGTGCACCCCACCCGACGAATGCATGCGCGCACGATACATAGTCTTTTAGTCACTTTTATTGCATGTAAAGTATGTATTTGTTTGGAAATCTGATAATAATATATTAAAGATAAGCCAAATATTAATAATATACAACCTTTTACTATTTTGCTTAATCATAAATATCAGCCTTTTATTACCGTGCTATTGGCTAATATTTGGACGAAAGTAATTGGTTAAAACAATATATTTTGCTAACATACTCACAGTTTGCAAAATGGTGGGCCCTACGTGCAAGCAATGCGAGGCGAAGATTGACCCGCTTCTGCTGAACCCGCAGCGGTCTACGACGGATGCACGGGCGCGCTGCGTCGGCTGCGGGAAGCTGCAGTACGGTTACGCGTTCCGTACAATCAGCGGACGGGGCAGCGTGCGGCACTGTATTGCCTGCAAGAACGGCCCAAAAGCGGTTAAGTTCTAAGAGGAAAAGCCTCCACCACCTAATTCGGCCGAAGTGCGCCGCCAGGAAAGCCTGTCAAACGTCGAAGAGGTGATGGGCCCTGACTGGTACCTCAAGAAGAAAAATAGACACAGCCACCCTCGCAAGCTGACCGCCCGGAACGCCAAGTACATCGAGCGAAAGAAGCAGCAGAAGAGCAGGTGATTTGGAAATACATCCTTATAGCCCTTACCCCGCATAGTTTTGTATACTGGCTGACGGTGCAAGGCTTGGGGCCGCACACACGGTAAGCTGACTATGGTGTTGACGCACCTACAGAGCGTAGCGCGCTTCATAAAATAATTAGCACATGGAATCAACTGTGCACCGCCGCAAGCTGGTGGTTCCTATCCGCATACGCGTCACCGTAGATGGCACGTACACTCGCTCACGTGGGCACACGCACAACCATGCTATCTGTACCACCAACGCTCACAGCGTATATTTCATTAATGTGCGCTCACGAGTGTAAGCTTCAGTATAGAGTGAGCACTATGCACCGACCAATAAGTTGCTGTCGACATAGACACAAGCACGTCTATGGTAGTGTTGACCATACAGGTGTCGTCGCAAGTCGATGTGCCTGTACGCAGTACTGTATTTTGGTTTCCTGTGTATAATGGTCGAGACGAGAGTCCGGTTGAGTCGCGAATGATTATAAGATGTACCCGCCGCGCGCATATTTCGCGTTGACTACTACCTACATACGCGCGGTCAGCTTGCCTGTATCACCGCGGTTATGACCTACGTCCAGTTAGTGGCGCGCTTGGGCATATAGACTGATCCATCAGAAGTGTAGGCGCAGAAAGCTAGCACCACGATGCAAAAGTACGATAAAGAAACAGTGACCCCATGCATAGGTTGAACTATCACGAGCGCGTGGCAAATACACTCATTAACGACCTTGCGATATATGCACGGACACATCAAATAGCACGCTGAGCGGATAAGTAGGCAGCGAAAGTACTCCATCTAATGTACATGAACTATTATTCAAATCAAGTCTAAGCCTCACTACGATTAGATACTCTGCCTACAGCCATATATCTTCGTATGTTTGTCGTACATATCGGTCCCAGTAAAATGTCAGTTGGAAAGGATTTACGCCACTCTGTCAGTCAGTAGCTATGCAAATAAGTCCGAAAGTACGTCAGCTATGCAAGTAAGATAAATGCATGCGGAAGAATAGTGGAAATACCCCTTCAGTTACATCACAAACAGCTCAGCAGAATTATTTCAAAGCATTAATATTGATGTTTGTGGCGACCATCGGCATATACTACCTATCCTAAAAGATACTTTCGCGCGCGGAGCTGATTAACATTGCTCTATTCGACCGTCGCAATCGATGATATGTGTCGACTGCCTACGTGCAGATGGGTAATATGTGTGAGTAGGCGTATTTACTCCAGCTACACTGGGATTCCTCACCGATCTACGCATATTTCGTAGCATCATTGATACTGACCCGTCTTCCGTACAGCTTACATTAGCTTTGCAGCCACGCGCGCCTTCGATTCGTGTCATTTTAGGAGCAATGCGCTCAAACGAGATTATAGACAGAACCTTTCCGGGTAAGATGGTGCTCTTCTTGCAGATCACGTTAAACCCTGGTCGTGTCTACCATAACATGTGAGCACTAAGGATACTGTGTGCGGTGTTGTTTTGGAACGTACAGTAATATACGTAGATCACAGTATACATGTACGATATGTTGCTTCGCTTTGAGTAGAAATTCTAAGCCCACCGCAGCGCAGCGGAGGTAGTCGGCCCTCTCTACACCAACCAACCATGCCCTAGCGTCCACGGAGCGGACGCCCAGACCGCTAGTTTCCCGCCACCTGAACTTGCAGCGTGTCTGTCCGTCCGTCCGTCCGTCTGTCAATCAGTCCGTCGCTTTCCTCTCTTTCTGCTTTTTCCTGCCTTTTCGCATGGCTACACCCGGCCTGGCTAATACAGTTTCCTTCCATCCTACCGACCGCGCCTACCTTTCTGACTCGACCTAACTATGCCAAAATTACAAATATATCCAAAAGCGTGACACAATTAACTCGCGCCCTGATTGGGCAATACCTGCCGACCTGCGACACTGACTGGATCTGTCGCACGATCAGACCGTCTCTCGCCCTCGGGATTGGACGTGATGTTAACATTTCTACCCAGCACGAAAGGCATCGATTGGTTGCAAACAGCCAGGCGAGCTGCGCAGATACTTGATTATTGACATTTAGCTACGCAAAACCTGTCGTATGTACTGCAAATCGGGCACAGTAACCACTTTATTTTCTAAGATCTCTGCACCCTTCTAAAATAGAGAATTTTATTATTATTAATGTAGACTTCACAGACCAGTATTTGTAAGAGCTCAGGGATGTTATTTTCCACACACTTTTCAAAGTAAAGACGATATTAATAGTATTAATATTACTCATATAAGCTTAACAGGCCGCATTTGTAAGAGCTCTGTGATGCTATTTTCCACAGACTTTCTAAAGTAGAGACGATAGTATTTTTTAATATTAAAGTAGGCTTCACGACCAGCGCTTTTTGTAGGGACTTTGCAAATATATATCTTCTTTACTTCACCTGGCACGTACCACTGCCACCGTGCAATGAAGGCGCGCGGCTGCACGGTCATTGCGCTATATGCTCCCGTGCACCCCACCCGACGAATGCATGCGCGCACGATAGATAATTGTTTTTATCAGTTTATATTGCATGTAATGAATGTATTTGTTTATTATCATTAATATAGCAATAGAAAGTAATATTATAAAACATTTTAATATTTTGCCTAATAATAAATACCAGCCTTATATTACCGGGCTATTGGCTAATATTTTGACGCACGTAATTGGTAAAAACAAATAAATTTTGTTAGCTTACTCACAATTTGCAGGACCACGTGCAAGGCATATATTGACCCGCTTCTGCTGAACCCGCAGCGGTCTACGACGAATTCCCGGGCGCGCTGCGTCTACTGCGGAAAGCTGCAGTACGGCTACGCATTCCATACAATCAGCGGGCGGGACATCGTGCGGCGCTGTATTGCCTGCGAGAACGGCCCAAAAGCGGTTGAGTTCTGGGAGGAAAAGTTCCCACAACCTGATTCGGCCGAAGTGCGCCGCCAGGAAAGCCTGGGAAACGTCAAGAAAGCGATGGGTCCTGACTGGTACCCCAAAAAGAAAACGAGGCGCAGCCGCCCTCACAAACTGGCCGCCCGAAACGTTAAGTACATCGAGCAAAAGAAGCAGCAGAAGAGCAAGTAATGGTAAATATACACTTTATGGCCTCCATGTTTCTACCTATCTTTGTATTTAGTATATCGGCTACAGTGCGAGGTTTGGAGCCGCACATACGGTAATCTGTCTATGGCGCAGTCAGTTGTGTTGACACACCTAAATCGAGTAGCGCGTTTCAAAAAATATTTAGCACATGGTATCTACTGTGGACAGCCGCAAGCTGACCGTTCCTATCTGCATACGCGTCACCGTAGATGGCACGTACACTCGCTCACGTGGGCACACGCAAAACCATGTTATCTGTATCATCAGCTCTTATAGCGTATATTGCACTAATTGGCGCTCACAATTTAAACCACAGTATTGAGTGGGAACTACGTGCGACGAATAAGCTGCTGTTTACATAGATACTACCACTGCGTGACAGTGCAGACCGTACAAATGGACGTGGCACGTCGATGTGTCTGAATGCAATATTGTACTTTAGTGTCCTGTCCATAATAGTCAAGATAAGAGCTCGGTTGAGTCGCGGATGACTATAAGGTGTGCCCGCCTCGCGCGTATATATCGCGTTGGCTACTGCTAACAGACGCGCGTTCAGCATACCTGTATCGCTGCGGAATAGCCTGTGCCCAGTAAGTGACGCGCTTGATCATACAGACTAAACATCAAAGCGTAAGCACAGAAAGCTAGCACGACGACGCAAACGTCCCGATAAGGAAACAGGGACCCCATGCATATGTTGAACTATCACGAGCGCGTGGCAAATACACTCATTAACGACCTCGCGATATATGCACGGACACATCAAATAGCACGCCGAGCGGATAAGTAGGCAGCGAAAGTACTCCATCTAATGTACATGAACTATTATTCAATTTAAGTCTAACCATCACTACGATCTGATACTCTGCCTACAGCCATATATCTTCGTATGTTGCAGCCGGTAAAAAGAATGTGCACGCAGTGGTGCCTCTTCGTCCGATGTGGACGAGGCCTTTTGTCGTACATATCGGACCCAGTATAATGTCAGTCGGAAAGGATTTACGCCACTCTGTCAGTCAGTAGCTATACAAATAAGTCAGAAAGTACGTCAGCTATACAAGTAAGATAAATGTATGCGGAAGATAGTGGAAATACCCTTCAGTAACATCACAAACAGCTCAGCAGAATAATTTCAAAGCATAATATTGATGTTTGTGGCGACCATCGGCAAATACTACCTATCCTAAAAGATACTTCGCGCGCGGAGCTGATTAACATTGCTCTATTCGACCGTCGCAATCGATGATATGTGTCGACTGCCTCACGGCGATGACGTGCAGATGGGTAAAATGTGTGAGTAGGCGTATTTACTCCAGCTACACTGGGATTCCTCACCGATCTACGCATATTTCGTAGCATCATTGATACTGACCCGTCTTCCGTACAGCATATATTAGCTTTGCAACCACGCGCGCCTTCGATTCGTGTCATTTTAGGAGCAATGCGCTCAAACGAGATTATAGACAAAACCTTCCCGGGTAAGATGGTGCTCTGCTTGCAGATCACGTTAAACCCTGGTCGTGTCTACCATAACATGTGAGCACTAAGGATACTGTGTGCGGTGTTGTTTTGGAACGTAATATACGTAGATCACAGTATACATGTACTATATGTTGCTTCGCTTTGAGTAGAAATTCTAAGCCCATCGCAGCGCAGCGGAGGTGGTCGGCCCTCTCTACACCAACCAACCATGCCCTAGCGTCCGCGGAGCGGACGCCCAGACCGCTAGTCTTAAACATCTACTGCAGCAACCTGTCTGTCCGTCACACTAAATTGTCGTGCCTGTCACGCTTTTCCGGACAAATCATTGGATAAAATGATTTAAATATTTCTACTGGTTGCCGAGCGCAGCGAAGGTGGCTTTAATTGGTTAAAACTAGATTGTGTTGTTGCATCAATAAATTCATGTGTTTCCCAGTTTACATATGGGGATTTGCACAAGGCTATACATTATAATATCCAAAGGCATCGTTTAAATATTTTTTACTTTTTTATAATGCATGTTGCTATTGATATTTGAGTACTAAACGGAGGGCAGGGTGCCTATCGTACACGTAAGCATGCGTGATTCCGAGGACATGGCTTAAGTATACTAAATTCTCTGTACTGGTTTTGCTAAATCGTATATGTTACATGTACAGCAGTAGCCGGTCGTGTGGACTGGTCGTAAGAACAAAGCTGTGCTTATAAACGTTGTCACTTGATTCACAAAGATAGATAGTTTTAGATTGACGTGTGAACAATATGTGCTGATGACAATTACTACTGTAAGCGAATTGAACTTGACCATTGTTTTCTACGCGGGTTTTTAGACAACAACATTCTGATACTTCTTAATAGGTAGACGCGTTGTCGACAAGGGCGTAGAATAAGGTTTTACATGCAGCGGTAAGATAACAGCACAACATGAGAGGTGTCAATTATGGTTACTATAAGTAGGCCCGTAAAGAAACGTTTATCAACTTAAAGCCTACTCTACGTTTAACCATCCTGGAATCATCGTTTAAGTATCAAATAAAAATACCGCCGTCAACAACAACAACAGCAAGGCGTCTTGCGACGCATCGTTATATCCAAAGGCTATAACCATAACAGGCACATATTCGAGTGTCTTATGACTGATTCTGAATCAGCACAAAATGAACACACTTCAATGCATAAAAATATGCTACAGCTTGAATATTTTTATTAAATATTCAAATTGTAGCACTTTTTCAAAGTAGCGAGTTTGGTATGCGAAGTGGTTAATAGTCAGTTTATTACAAGCTTAACCAGGCAGTACAAGCGGGTATTTGATGCAAGCTGGACAGATATTCTTTGTATTGATGCAATTTAGGTTTCAGAAACGGCCCGTGAAATCGAGCACGACGCTGAACTAAATATATTATTTAGCGTTTTTAGACTGGTGGAAGATTAAGGTACAGTGATAGCCAACAACAATAAAGAGACTTTGCCAAGATCACTAGCGTAAGCGTTTATGAGCATGGTAAGTATGTGCTAGGGGTTCAGTCTTTTGTACCGGTAGAAATATATACACGGCTTACTGGGAACTCAGCATTTTGTAGCAAATGAAACGCAGATTTATGAAATCTAAGAAGTCAATTTAGGCACACGGGGGACTCAGAGGATTTGGACTAATTATCCCGCCGAAGCGAAGCGAAGGCGGGGAGGCAAAAATCTAAAGTAAAATCTAAATTACGCCGCGTAGCGGCGGCGCTCGGCTAGTTGACAGCAGCGTCAACAGTGATGACTCCAGGACACGATGACAAGGATAACTGACACAAGTAAACTTCTGGTTTGAGAACAAATGCTGAAAATCACCTTCATGTAAGTATAAACACAAGAACTGAAGTGTAGTGCTCCGCTGGAGATGAAAATACAACTTTTTGCCTAGCAGCTTCTAGATTAACCTTGGGTTTCACATCGTCCACCACGTAGAAGAAAAAAAAACTTCGTCAGTTGCGATTCAACATATTCCGATGTATTTGTACAAATATAATGCCAAACTCAAACACATTCACACTTTATCCCAACTCACAACCACCAATGCGACTGCACACACATATGAACTCCAGAACTTTGCGGAAACCAAGTCTTGCCATGCCCTGTCCTTCACTTTCACCCGTTTCCGTCTATACCGTGTACGATCGGAAATTCGACAAGTACGCTAAATCGCACGGTTCGTCCTTGGAGTATTTCGGAATCGTCTCTTCCTTCTTCTTTTCCTTCTTCTCTTTCTTACCACGAGACTCTGTTCGACGATCCTCGTGTCTTCGTGGCTTGAGGTTAAACGTCGACAAGTGGAAATCAATGGGCTCGACATCTTTTTTCCGTCGAGAAGATTCAAGCCCGCGTAGCTCCACCTCGTCCACCTTCGACCCTCCGTTTCTATGCCGTGAAATTTTCTGCGTCGTACTCGCCGTGTTCACTGTAGTATGTCGATGTGGTCGTAGATCCACAGTCGACAGGTGAAAGTCGATCGGTTCACTGAACTTCTCCGTTTTCTTCGAACGTTTGGTCACTGTCTTCGGTTGCTTCGGCTGCTCTTTGGGATGCGCATCATATCTTTTTAACTCAAGCTCGACGGACGAGAGTTTCGCGTCGATGGCTGCGAGATGCTCAATTGAAATCGGAGTGAGCGCACTGTTGGACGGACCAGCAGCTGACACGCGTCGTCCTCGTTTGGTGGATGTAGGTACCGGTACGTCCACCTTGTACTTGGGCAGTCTCAGATCAACTGTTGACAGTCTCATCTCAGTGGACTCGTCCGACACGTCGAGAGTTGGCTTGGAACCTGTCGTCGTCGCAAGCTCCCTATCTCTGGACTCAGTCAAAGTGGCATCACGGATGACCATACGGCCTGTTGTCTGTGTAAAATCACACGACATTGACGTCGACGTGTGCAGCTCCGTAGCGTTCTGATGTCTCCGTGCAGCTTGCAGCTCTGTGGCATTCGCTAGTAGCAATTGTCGAGCTCTGGATGGTCTCGACGGGGCGATAGATGACGTGTGTCGACGTCGACGAAAGTCCACTGTAGACTGCTCCATCTCTGTGTTTTTCTTCGAAGATCCTGTCTGTTGTGACGTGTTTTCTGCTGATAAGAACGTGGCACTTGGTTTACTCCTGTGACCTCTAGTACTGTGCTCTCTTGCCATGTTCGAGAGCGAATCGATGCGAGGTCCTACTGAAGTGGGCGCTGAATTCACTCGCTGAAAGCGACTCTGACGACGTTCGCGTGGCGGAGAATGCGCTTCCGGGCGCAGCTGACTGCACACTAGACACACGTGTTGATGTCGGGCAGTCGACTGCAGCGTCGACCTCCTGCTTGTAGCAGCGACGAAGCATTCCTCGCAGACTCGCTGTGAGCACATACTGACCATTAGTTTTCGAGGATTATCAAGAAGTACAAGACGGCGACGTACCGTTCTACAGTAGCGACAGATCTCCTGGTTCACGGGGCTCTTGGGTGGCCTCACGACGCCCTTGCAGTTTACCATTGTATCCGCTCGAGTGGAGTAGGGAATGGTTCGCTATTGTCGGAATGTGCAATGAAGGGAGACGCCGGTCGATGGATGCAGAGGAGCGGGATGAGTGAAATATCTAGAAACCAGGCGGCATCAGCTTGAGAGGGGACTCGAAAGTGCTGGCGTGCTGCGGTCAAAGCAGCTGGCGATTGCACACTGCCAATGTTCGACCAGATGAACTTCATCATGAAGCTGTTGACTGTCAATTCGCTTGACATGCGAATTGGATCGGATCCAGTTCTCCAGCAGGGATCGCTTGTCGGCTCTGCTGCTGCTATTATTAGCAGGTCAAGCTGACCGTCAACATCGCCGATCGTAAGCCGCGGAGTGTACTTCGAGGTACTGTACACGTACTGTTTAAGTATCTAAAGACACCAAGATGTCGGCTGGGAAGATCGGCGTTTTCTTTTTTCGACTTCCATGGCTGACAAGTGCGTGGTACCTACAACAGCCATCACTAGCGATGATAAATTACATGGTACAGCGGATCGAGAGCGTGCGCCATGATAAGCACAATGACTACAGTTGATCAGATACTTCATCTGATGAGTTCCTAGGTTTCTATCCTAGAAACCTGTTGAAATGAGGGAAATTTGGGAATTAACTCTCGCAATTTCAAAATAGAAACCTCTTCTGGCACCACCAGCCGCATATTAGGAAGGTCATAATGACGAGCTGGACAACCGCGTGCGTCTACTTCGCCGTGTTTCTAGATGGTTCCTGGTGCTGAATACCGACTGGCAGTCGGTGATTGCAAGCTCGTAATGTTGCAATAGAGCAGCGCTTATTAATAACGCAATTGCAGGCTGCAATTTTAGCTCGTGGTTCGCACTTGAGTCAGCTTTCAGCGATCACCTTCGTCAGCTCATCGTCCATCTTCATAATGGTAGCTCACTGTCGCCATCTCGCCTTGAAAGTGATCCCTTCAATAGATATCGTATGCAATCCGTCGCTCGGTCGCTCTACCGGGCGTCTTTGTACGCACGCAAATAGTCCAGATCGATAGCGAAGTCTGCCGGATCCGTCTTGGCCGGCTCGTCCTCCGTGACGCTGCGTACAGCCACGGACTTAGCACGTCGCTCAGCACGGATCCGTCGCGGCGGAGCTGTAGCAGGGTGGCTGTGGGCTCCATTCACGTGCACAGTATCGTAATGTTGTCGCATGCGCAGCAGCATGTGAGCGTACGAAGCGCTTCTTCGTCGCTGACGTTCTTCTTCCGTTTCATTGTTTATAAGAGGTTCTGCCGGTGTTCCGATCTGTTTCCAATCGACAGGATCGTGTTCCGGAGCAGAGAATGTAGGCGAGGAAGAGCTCATGTCGAAGTAGTTGGGAGGCAGCTTAAGCGACCGCGACATTCCGAGGATGTCGGCTGTCGAACTCAAGCGCTTTTCGGACCCGCGGGGCTCCGACTGTCCCGTACTTGACTTCCTCGGACGAGTCGGATTCTCAACTGAAGCACGTTGCTTTGTGACGGAAGTTTGGGCCCTTATTTCGACCGTACTCGCTGGACGATTGCGAATGCTCGATTCTCTGGACGCACGATGGTTCACAAACGGGTTCAACACGCCGCTGCTGCTTCTGGCAGCGTCTTCCGACATTTGGGACGATCGACGTCTTCTGCCATTGCTCGAGACCGGTTCACGAGTACTTTTCCGGTTTTCACGACGCTGAGGGCGTCCATCTTGAAGCGTCTCTCGCTTCTCTGGCTGCTCTCGTTGAGTCTTTCGCTGCTGACGCCCAGCAACGTACGGCTCTAGATGCTCGAGTTTTAGCGCCTGATCCGAAGGCTTCGGGAAGCCATCCCAACACGAATCCAAACTTACGGATGGCTCGACTTTCTGAGGCACCTGACGCTTCTCAGCGCAAGACGAGCACATGTACTTCGTGCGAGGGGCTTTGTTGGTAAGGAAACGCCATCGCAAGGGCTTGAGCTTCGTAAAGGCTCCACGACCTTCCTCTGGTGAAGCCCCGTACGCAATTGGGATCGGATTAGGCGTGTTACTGAGACTCTAAGGATTAACGAGTACATTAGTACACAGCGATACTTGTGGGTGTGTTCAAGGCGTACAGAGCGACATACCTCGCCGCAGAACGCACAACTCCCCGCGTTGGAGCTACAGCTGTTGCTGGACATGCTGGTTTAAAGCGCAGATGATAATTTAGGGACTGCGGATTGAGCTCAGAGGCGCTCGACCGCAGATCGACGGTTGTGGACGCAGTTCGGTGTTTTCTCAAGTGCCGGTTCCTTGGAAGGCGATATCCGGTTGGGTTGTGTGCAGAGCTGCGAGCTTTGTAAGCAATGCTCAAGTATGGAGCATGGAGCATGGAACGTACCGGACACTTCGGTCCAAAGTCGCTTTTTTTAATGATCAACCTCAGATGTGCACGAAAGAGTGCAAATCGTGCAGCGAAGTGTCCCTTTAAAATCGTCCCAATCGGACGAAAAGGAAGACTTGTCGACGAGAGATTACAGTAGTGCCGCACACTCTTCCGCCCTCTTAGAAGGCATCAACACGCTCAATGCAAGTCGCTCAGAATCCTCCCAAAAAAGTACCCACCACAATTCAACATACTCAAGTTGCTGTACCTGTAGGCTCTCGGGGTGTACATGTCATGCGCCACGGTGGAAATGCCAACTTGGCATGTGTGCACTTTAGCGTGGATGGGACAAAATCGCGAATTCATCGAAGATTGAGTCAGCCCAGCTCAAAGGATGCAGAAGAACATCACGAAGGTCTACATGTACAGAACAGTACAGCCTTGTTTTTTGCTGTACATGTAGCTGCTGTGTACGGATGTCTCCACACCGCAAACTGCACTTTGAACTGAAAGACCAGATCTGATCAAAGGATACCAGCTGAGAAGTCCACGATGCAAAACGCAGCCACCTTATCTGGTCCAAGTCTCGACCGACTTGCACTGCACGACCATCATCACCGCAAGCTCAATATCATGTTTACTCTAGCATCCTTTATCTTGGGGCCGGGGTAACGCATCTTGCGGCTCCTTTTCTTGGTGTCTTCTCTCCTTTCCATTGTTCCATTGTTGCCTTGATTAGTCTTGTCTTTCGTGTCTACTTGAAGCTGGCCAAATACGATAGATCACACGGATTTTGCTTCGAGTACCGGGCCGAAGATGTCGTCGTCAAGTCCATCATGGCCGGCGTAAAAGCGGGTGCTGACGGTCGCGCAGACAACCGACTCGGCTGGTAGCGCTCGTGCTTACGCGTTCCATCTACGGTGTGGCAGCGCGCGGAAGCTCGAACTCCTTGCTCTGTCCAATCCATCGGTTGAACCGGAATAGCGTTAGTCGTATAACGTCGCATCCGCCAATTCAATTCCTCGAGATTGAGGCCCACTTGGCTACCCACCGGGGCGAAGTCCATCGGCTCCTCTACTGGCGTGTCGAACGTGATCGGAGACTCCTTGGGGGCCTCGGAGCCCTTCCCAGGAGCACAACCAGTTGGTTTGGCTCTACGTGACAGTCTCGAGTTGCCTGTCGTTCGACTGCGACGTCGTGCGATAAAGTCTTCGTCCAGTGCCTTTGCTGGACGTCGAGTGGACACGCGCGTATTACAACGTCGACGTTGCTGCTCTTCATGGTCCGTCGGCAGGAAGAACGTCTGATGAGGAATAACTGGCAAGAAATACACAAGTGTGAGACGACCAGACGTGAAAGCAGCTCCACAGATAACGTACATTCCGAGTTGCGAGCTGGAGTCGACGTCTGCTGGGACAGTTTCCGCTGCTGAACATTGCGTTGTGGTGGCTCTAGTCGCTGAGGCTTGGGCTGTGGAGGTTCTTGACGCTGGGGCTTCTGTTGTCTCGGTTCTTGACGCTGGGACTTGGGTTCTTGTCGCTGCGCTTTCTCTTGAGCGAGCACAAGTGACGGCTTTCCTTCGTCGTCAAACCATTTCGGATGATCCTCGCTGGTTAAAGATGAAATGCTGCCGTCTCGCAGTCCACCTTGTTGGTTTACTTCGAAGATGCTGTGTGTCCGTGTGAAGACCTTGACAGCCGATCCGCTGCTGTCACTGGAGTCCGAGTCGTCGTATCTGCCTTCCGTCTCCAGCGTAATCTTCTTACCGCGTCGATGCGCACACGAGAAACACGCTTGTCCCGTGGCGACTCCATCGACTCGATAGTTCCGTGCCACAATATCGCAACATTTATCGCACAAATACTGCCAAGAAATAGACCTAATGAGACCCACTTGAACCACCTATTATAGTCTACACTGAACAACGTACCGATCCACACATGACGCACTTGTCTTTGGGTCTCCACATGGACAGGTAGTTCGCACAGGCAGCACAACGTTTCTCGCCCTGTAGCTGCAGAGCGCGTGTGAGCGAGATCTTCCTGGACTTGAGAATCATGTTGGACATCTTGAGGTAATGATTCACCAGCTCGATCGTCCGTTTGCCACGCGATTTCTGCACCATGGGCATCAACACGGACGGCGTCTTGTCACCTTTGACGTTGTAGTACACGGTGGCATTCAGTACGCCCAAGGCGTCCGTCTCTTCAAAGAACAGGCCGCAGTAAAACAACTCGGCTCGGTGCACGTCGAGACCCTGCGCGTTCCTAAACTCCGGACACGCCTTGTGCTTGATCGAGTGCGATACTTTAGCCCAGCCACGTCGTCCGTCTGCGGTCCCGTACGGCTTCATGATCTCCAAATAGCAGAAGTCCTGGTCCTTGGCTAACAGGCGACTCGGCGAGTGACTCAGCGCCCAGCGAAGACTCGTATGATCAAGTGGACGTTGGTGGGTATTGGGCTTGAGCACTGCGAGTTCTCGCGACTCGGAGAAGTCCAGCACCATCTTCTTCTCGTTGTTTAAGTACAACTCGGTGACCTCGTCCAATGAGCCGTAGACGGTGAAGGTGTCGAGTGTCGTGACGACTCTGTCCTTGGACTCGGGGGCGGCGCGCTGCTTCTTGGCATCGTACAGTCTCTCCTGGGCCTCGAGGAAGACGTGGTCGCCCTGCTGTATCAGGTCGAGTCGCTCTCGCTCCGACACGATGATCTCCCCCATTGTCGCTCTGGTTGTGACTTCAGTTTTGGGATGTTTATGAAGCAAATCTCAGGAAGCGAAGAGGTGGCCGATAGTGCAGTGGGGTTGCGTGACGCAATGCGTCCGGTACGGACTGGAAGATAAGCTTGAGCTTGCAGACCGACGGACGATTTAGTATCCTGGGGGGCAGCCAGTGGCACGAGCGGACACGGAAGTCCGGAAGTGACTCGGAAACAGATCGAGACTGTTAGCCGATCAGACAGGTGCACGATACATGTACATAAAGGCAAAGCCCAGACCCACAGCCGCGTTGGCTCTTCCTCGAACAGGCACGAAAAATGCAGTTGAGTCTTCGTGAGCGAGTTCGTGTGCACGACGTGGCTTCGAAGCGCAAATGACGGACGTCGATGCTGCGAGGCGACTGTCGTAGGAATTTACTTCCAGAGCAGAGACCGGGTGGACCAACCTTTCTGGCGAAGCACGAGGCCAAACGCGACCCTGAGTTGCCAGATGGTAATGGAGACGCTCAGTCGATGGGGACTCGTCGACTTATCTTTGGCGGTGACTAAGAAGACTATGAACACCCTCCAGGCACCTACATGTACAACCAATATGACCTAACAGCCATCACTGCAATACAGGAAGCAATTCCGTAACGACAGATAATAAATGCATGTGCACACGCCACTCTACTTGGCATATAAACTACTGACCGGCTTTAGATCCAGTTCTCTTCCTCCAATGACTCTCGGGTCAGCGACTCGCGACTGAGAGACTCGCGCTCCTGACGAGCGCCGTTAGACTTGATCGTTTGCAGTACGCGATACTGCTCCTTAATACGTTCGCGATACTCTTCCTCATCATCGTCGTCCTCGGCTTCGGACATTTCGCGTTGCAACTGCGTCAACTGTGCGATCTGTTCGAATAATATGCGCGCAGGCAGCGGTTGTGTGTCCATTTCGTCGTCCGAATTGCGTTCCGAGATCGTAGACGCACTCAGATCGCTCGCACACATGAACGACGACTGCGGATTGAAGCTTCTACTGGCATGGAAGCTCCGATGACCGTTAAACGTGTCGTCATCGTCGTCACTGTCAAACTCGGACAAGTCCATTTCCTCGGGCGTCAACACAGACGCGATAGACTCGCGACATTCCTCTTCCAGCTGGCGGATTCTACGGCGCAGTCTCTCCATATCAACCTGGTGTTTGGACTGCACTTCTTGCATGACACTGGACGAACGCCACTGCATCTCTTCACTGTCATCTCGGAAGCCCGGATGCATGGACCGACCTGGTTGGTATGCACTACCGAGCATATCTTCATCCAAGTTGGAGATGCGGTTGCCCAAGTGGTCAACAGCGATCCGGTTCAGCTCCTCCATTCGACGCAAGTGGCTCGCTTCTAGATCGTGCATCACGTCGGAAGAACGGGACCCATCTGTGTCGTACATAGGTCGGTTGGCGCGAATCAGTTCGAAAAGCTCGTTCGTGGGACGGTTCATCAACTCTTCATCGATCGCCGACACGTTCGACTCGCGGGGAGAAGCCAAGTGCTCCGAAGGCTCCGTACTGCTGCTGGAAATCGGCGTCTGCGTGTGGTCTTCAGGGATAAAGTCCGACGTGTCACGCGGCGAGCGCGTGTCGTCGTCGTGTTCATCCACTTGAGCGAGTTTGCTGTCGGAGATGACTCGTGAGCTGTCAGCGTGGAACTCGTCGACTGCTGCGCTTCCCTCGCCTGGTACAAGTTGAGAGCTGAACGGCTGGAACTTGGGCGCACTCTTCTCAGGAGCAACTTGCTCTTCGCTGGTGCGGTACGCTGCGTCCGAGTCAGAATCTGAGCTCGAGTCTGACCCCCGTTCACTTTTGTGCTCCACGGAGTCGGCGCTTGAGCGGTACTCAGGCTTGGTGGCTTCATGCTCCTCACTCGAGCGATGACCTGCATCTTCAGACTCATTCTCGTGCGTGGACTCCTCGCTCTGGCGGCGTGGTGGCGTGATGAATCCACTGTGGTGGTCCTCGCTTGAACGACGGGAAGGCGTGGTAATTCCACTGCTGTGCTCCAGTTTGTGCTCCACAGATTCCTCGCTCGAGCGGTAGGCCGAGTTAGCCAGCGCATGCTGCTGTTGGTGCTCCACGGACTCCTCACTCTGGCGGCGTGGCGGGGTGGTGAAGCCAGTCTCGTGGTCTTCACTTGAGCGGCGAGGAGGAGTGGCGAATCCACTGCTACGCTCCTGCTCATGTTCCATCAATTCCTCGCTCGAACGGTATGACGAGTTAGCGAGCCCATTGTCGTACTCGTGCCCCATGGATTCCTCACTGTGGCGCGGCGGGGTAGCGAGTCCAGTCTTGTGGTCCTCGCTTAAACGACGAGGAGGAGTGGCAAGTCCACTGCTGTGCTCCTGTTTGTCCTCCATCGATTCCTCGCTTGAACGATACGCCGAATTTGCAAGTGCGTGATCCCCCGATTCCTCACTCTGGCGGCGCGGTGGCGTGATAAACCCACTCTTGTGGTCCTCACTTGAGCGACGGGGAGGAGTAGCAAATCCACTGTTACGCTCTTGCTCTTGCTCCACCGATTCCACACTCAGACGACGTGGTGGGGTGACAAGTCCAGTCTTGTGCTCGTCGCTCGAGCGACGAGGAGGCGTCATAAGACCATTCTCATGTTCCAGTTCGTGTTCCACGGATTCCTCGCTAGGTCGGTACGCTGAGTTAGCAAATTCACTTTCACGCTCCGCTGAATCACTGCTCGACCGTCGTGGTGGGGTCATAAACCCACTCTTAAGACCTTCACTTGAACGGCGCGTAGGAGTAGCCAATTCACTCTTAGGTTCGTGCTTTGCAGACTCCACAGACTCCTCACTCATCCGAAACGCTGAGTTAGCAAACTCTCTCTCGTGTTCATGCTCGTCGGAGCTCACACTCGAGCGACGAGAAGGAGTGGCGAAACCACTCTGCAGATCCTCGCTAGTACGACGTGACGAAGAGTTAAATCCGCTGCTCTGCATCTCCACTGACTCCTCGCTCTGACGACGTGGTGAAGTAGCAAATCCACTATTGTGTTCACTTGAACGGCGTGGTGGGGTATTAACTCCACTTTTCTGCTCTACAGACTCATCACTCGGACGGTACATCGAACCAGCCAACCCGTGTTCGTGTTCGACCAATTCTTCGCTCTGACGCAATGGGGTAGCAAGCCCACTCTTCTGCTCCTGCTCCTGTTTGACCGACTCGATGCTTGAGCGGAATGGCATCGCGGCAAATCCACGCTTCTGTTCAACTTCATTCTCCGATTCCTCACCGGGGCGGTACGCCGGCGACGGCTCACTCTCGAACTCGACACCCGCAGACTCTTCGCTCGATCGGTACGATGGCGTCGCGTACTCTGCGTGCTCCTCGCTCAGGCGGAACGAAGTGTCTGAGTCATCCGGTCCTTCACTCTGCTCGTCGTCACTTTCCACATCTGGAACCTGCTCCAGCTCCTCCAACGAGAAGGGGATAGTGCCGCTGCGCTTGGTACGTCCAAGAGGTCTCGTCTCAAAGTCAAATTCTTCGTCATCAATGTCGACAGAACTAGCGGAGCTGGCCGAGCTGATCGTGCTGTCACCAAAGCGATTCGCAGAGTACTGCGTTAGACTAATCGAGCTGTCGTGCAGCCCTCCAAGCGTAGACGTGCTATCCCGAACATTTTCTTCCACGACGACGTGGTTGGCTGCCAGTTTGGATAGCTCCTCCATGCGCTTACGATGCTCTTCCTGCCTCTTTCGTAGCTCATCAGACGGACGGTCTTCTTCGTCTGGCAACCTGTACGCAGCACGAGCTCTCATCGAGCTGATGTGGTCACTCATACCGGCTGAAGACTGATCCAGTAAATCTTCGTTTAGAAGTGAGTCGTTCGAGCTGCGCTGTTGACTCGGTCTCTCCATCATTGCGACGTTCTCCGGAGACCCATCAGGGTTCTCCAGTATCGCAATACTGCTCGAGAACTTGGATTTATCCACCGATAGGTGAGACGCATCAAACGCGAGATCGTCCGGATGATTGGTCATGTGAGTTCCCGAAACTTGGGACGCGTCGAACCGCTTACCACCAAACTTGCTGCTGTTGCTTGAGCTCAATGACGAGTCGAAGCGTTTACCAGACCGCTGTGAGTCGAACATGAGATCGTCACTCTGAGCCGATGCAAACGCGCCATTCGACCGGTTCGAGAGGAAACGACTTGCTCCAAAGTCGCTACTGGCATCTGTACGACGCGAGCGATCCCCACGGAACGATCGGTGTCCTTGACTGTTAAAAGAAGAGTTTGGATTCGGTAATCGACGGCCACGCATGCTAGGCGGCGTTCCGGGCGGAGAACCAGGCATCGGGCCTGTCGAGGAGCTTGCTGCACCACGAGAGCGACGAGAACTGCGACGGAATTGCTCCGGTTCCTTACCAACAGCAGCACTAACACCATTCTGGGAGTTCTGAGCACTTCGCATGGAATTGCGACTTCCGTTTGACGACATGGAGCGCCGAGCTGCCTTCTCCTTGGCCACAGCCTGCATCCGCTCGATTTCGCGCATCCGGTTCAGGTGTTCCTCTTCCAGCGACTTCAACACCGCCGAAGATCGGTCGCTTTCAGGAGTAAGCTGGAACGTACGGCCGCGATTGCGACGCATTTGCTCCAGAATCGCAGAAGAGCGGGTACTACTGGTCAGTCTTGAATCTCTGGAGCTTGTCTGGGACACCCGCGAGTCTCTGTTGGCCACAGCTGCGTTGAACGCCATATTTCGAGGCACCTTGGGATCGCGGTTTGATGACGACCTTGATGAACTTGCTTCTCGTTGTGGAGGCGGCGGAGTGAACATCTTCCGTGCAGCGATCCCCTTGGGCTTGCGGTTCTTAGAGCCGTGAGTATTGTCCGTATTTAATTCTCCAAGATGCAGAGGACTGTCTTCTTCTTCCTCCTCCTCCAGTGGCGGGGACAGTGGTGGTGGAGGTGGTGGCGGCGGGAACTGACTCTTGATTCCGTAGCGCGCAGAGCGCGCCTTGGCCAGGCTCTGGATTGACAGAGTCTTGCTCGCAGTACTCGTGTTGGACGTTTGACTGCCCTGACTAGAACCTGTAGACTTCAAGTCTTTCGCCGGCTTGGGGTCTTTCGTAACCTTGAAATCCTGCGTCGCCTTGAAATCGGATACTTGCGTGGAGTTGTAGTTGGAGCCCTGAGCCAATTTATAGTCGTCGTAGCTCGAGTTGGGGCTTTTATTGTAACCACGATGACTCGACGGCTCGTCTTCAGGGATCGGTGCTGCTTTGTATCTATCCGGCCGCTTCCGACGCTCCTCTTCAGTCGAATATTTACTCGCCCCATATTCGCTTCCATAGTTACTTGCTCCATAGAAATTGCTGCTCGACGTCGAAGCCTGCGGGTCGTAAATGTAGCCATCCGCAGGTTTGACACTGCTAGCTTGGTTCCAGCCAGCCATACTGCTTACCGCGCTATTACCACCTTGCCAGTACGACGTGCTAGTACCACTAACGAAGCTGTTCTCGCTGGAGCCGCCGTCGTAGTACTGACTGTCGTCCAGCTCGCTGGTAGCGTCGAACTGACTGGAGTCTTCAAAGTGGCTTTCAAACTGACTTCTGGAGGCACTGAACTGACTCGCAGCCATGGAGTCCCGGCTCGCTTCTGTGAACCGAGACTGGGCGAACACACTGTAGTCCGACTGCTCTTCAAGTCCGTCTTCGTCTCCGTCCTCTTCCATGCTATCCTCGTCTTCCTCATGGTACAAGTCCGGATGGTCGTGATGATCTTGCAAGATATCCGAGTAGCGTGTCTCATTCTGCAAGCGTCGCCGGTCGCCTCCATTATGAGAGCTAGGCAGCGCTCCGACCGGTTCATATTCGTCACTAGGAGACAAGTGGTAGCATCTGGTGCACACTCGCGTCTTGATGGGGCCACGCTTCGCAGAGATCATGACTTGCGGCGCACATGGCTGGCACACCACTTCACCACACACGCGGCATCGCGTTTTACGTACAAACAAAGAGAATTTGCGTGAGCAAAGCGTACACAGAGATCTCGTGCGCTTGGGCATCAGGTCTTTCTTCCTCAGTAGCGTCTGGCGTCCCATTCTCGACGTCTGGATCTCTCGACTGATGGAGACGACAGACAGGATACGTCGCTTTAGCGCCGAATTCAGCAGGAAATGCGGCAACCGACTAGTGCTCTTGAAATTGATCTGAAGACTGTGCATCACGTCCATGTATCCTTCCTTCTCGGCCTCTACAAACACGTAGCCAGACTGGTACATACTGCCTCTCACGACGCCGTCCACTTCAGGACAACTTGGTAGCTTGATGGAGTGCATACTGAGCACCCAACCTCTTCTTCCCGACGCGTGTCGGAACGTGTTCTGACACTCCAAGTAGCAGTAGTCTCGCTCTCGAGAGAAGGCGGAGGGCCCTTCGTAAAGCTGATATTTAGCCGACACACGGTAGTACGGGTTCTGTGGGTCGCCGTGCACCAGCGAGTAGAGCACGCCACAGTCCAGCACGTCCTCTGCCTTCTTGGAGAGCATGAGTTCCGTTGTCTGCTGGTCGAAATGGCTCGCTACCTCCTCGATAGACCCCATCATCGTGGTCACACCGCACAGGAACTCGGTGCCGGTTGTACCCACATGATCGTAACTTCCTTCTCCGCGGTACATCTGGATGCCGCGAAACTTACCGGTGTAGTGCCACTGCACAGGACCGTCCAGGGTGTGCGCGTGGTCTACAAGCGCCACAGACGCCTCCTTGGCCTTGCGGATCATGTAGGCGCGTTCGCTGGCTGTGAGCGACGGCGGCTGCCACGAATCGTCGCGGGAGTCCGCCGACGCGCCGCTCTGGGCGCGCCTCCGACTCAACGTGCGCGCTCTGCCCATGGTCCTATCGAGTGCGGACTAGTGTTCGTCCGTCACGTCACGTCACGCTTGGTTTCCCTTTCGCGAATGCGGAATTGAGAGTGAATGCGGAAAAAGTCTGGAAGCGATAGGAGGGGGCAGCTGCTCAGAGGCAACTTGATGTTTTATCTGCGCTTTTCGACGGAAGTCAGGAGATGGAAACGTCCACGTGTGTGGCGCCGTGAAAGTGTTGATCTAAAGCGCTGCTGCCGGATCGAGCTTCGCCCTGGCCCTTGCTGCTGTCGCGCGCTCTCGCTCTCTGCCTCTGGTGGCGGCCTCGTGCGTCTTATACGATGGAGCGCTGAACCTGAAACACCTGGCCACGCACGTCAAATTTGCTGGCTTGTGTGCGTCTAGTGACCAATCAGGAGACAGTGTTGCACTAGTCGAGAGTGCTCATTGGTTTCTTATTGTGAATATTGTAGTAGGCGACAATCGTCAGCTTGTACTGTTGTGAACTTACGACAAAACGACTAGAACAACAACGACCACTGGAGATTGAGTTCCTTCAGAGCAGAGACCCACCGTTATCCTGTCGCCATCGGCTCGAGCATCATAAGACACTAGATCATGTAGACTCCTTTTCCGAGGCTTAAGTTCGCATTTCGCCCTAGCCAAAGAGACCGAAAATGTAAAAAAAAACGACCAACACTTCGCTTTAACAGTAAAACCTTTCTGGATAGGCGTGGTATCCTAAAGGACGGAGTCGATCCACTTTACTGCCTGCCCAAGGTGTGCAGATCGCGGAGTGCTACAGAGGACATAAGCTACATGCCAAGCTATTAAAGTTTAAACGACCTCATCGCTATCGATAACGCAGACAACTGTCATGCATGATCGCACAGGTGCACGTTAAGCGAACACACGGTCCGACACTGTCACCATAGGCGGCGAGTTGCCCGCGGCGCCTATCACGGTGGTTCACGAGCTGAAGTCTCTTCAGTGTTTCTGCACTTTCGGCAGTGCGAACGAACGGACAGCATTGCGCGGCACAACGAAAACTTGCCTCCTCCATGCGTTGTTTGCAACCACTTTGCAGTGCACATAATGCCATCGTACCTCGAAGTAGACAAGTGAAAAGCTTGGGTTGGGTGGACCTTTGTAATTTGAGAGTTCAGCAAATATGACGATACAATTCACAGAATAAATACGAGAGTGCGACCACGATGTGATTGGTGGAAATTTTTTTTACTGAATCTAACGCACAAAGAGCTACAATTGAAGAGACAAACGAGCACCTTGTTGCTTGTCTCGGCGAAGAGCAACTAGAACTTGAGTCACAGGAAGCTGTCGACCGTATGCTGCGTATACTTTGCTGATAGCAGCACCACTGGTGAGTCCTGCGCGAGCAAACCCAGAGACTACGTCCCAGAACACTATGCGGCGCGAGTAAGTAAACTTGTTGGCTCCTCGCTCCGCAGCGGTGAAATCTTTCGCTGGCTTTAAGCCGCTCAAACCGACCCCCCCCCCAACTCGTACAGATCCTTCGATCTCTATGACAGTACCGCGTGGTGAGCTTCGTGAGCAGCACTACCATCTGTGTCTGCTTCGATGGCCATGATCGAATTGGACAACACTCTCCTTGCAACAGGTTGTAGAGCAATACGCCGCAATACAGCCAAATACTTTTGATGGTTTTGCTGGCTTTCGGTACGCGAGCGGAGGACCTCGTTCAAGAAGCCAGCAACTTGGCGTTGCAGGCTAAATAGCTGGAAATGGAGTGCAACATACTCTTTGTGCTGTCCGCAGACATGTTGCTCTGGGTTCCATGCGTTTGCACAGAATCGTTGTCATCGGTGGGGTATCACGAACTTCAACAAGCCGAAGCTGTGTACCATCATCGGTAACGTGTATGGGTAATCGCTCAACGGGGCTTACAGCAGCGCTCTTCGAGCGTTGGCGAAGGCTCGTAAACTAGGAAGAAGGTCATAATCAAAGCTTCCATCCGGGACGAGAGATGCCCAAAGTAGTGGCAGGGCGAGCACCTTCGCAACCTCCTCCCCCATCGCTTCATTAATTGCGGGTCCGACTTGATTGACCAGTGTAACCACCAGTAAGACGCTTTTGCTGAAAACAGTATATGTGCTGAAGGAATGGCCTGTTTTAAACGCCATCAACTCGAGGAGGATAAAATTATATCGCTTTGTCTGCATCTTGCTTGCTTTGGTGTGTGAGGGCGGTTTTTAATTGTGCGGACGGCGGGATTTTTTGCTACCAGCTTGAAAGCCACCACTTGATTTTTTATATGCGCAAGTTGCATGAGCCAGCTATATTACAACTTCCAGTGCAATTGTTTTTGCAAGTGATACAGATTTTTTGCAGAGGTATCACTTTCACTAGAGCTGGAGAAAAGATAGAATCACTACAGTTGATTCCGCAAACACTTTTACGCTGATACGAGCCACGGATAGGAAGAGCAGAACACTAACAATAGTGGAGCTGACATGCACCAACTGTTGGGTAGTCAATCCCTTATCAGAAGAGCGGAGCACTACTTCTACACCAACTCAAATGAAGATACCGCCAACATGGATCTGACGTGATATGTAGAGGTTATATACAGTGTGCATCGACGACTCCATAGCACAAAGAAGCAGTCACAAGTGGAGGCATTTCTATGATTGTAGTCGTCACTACAGAGCAATAGAAAGTCGGATCATTTTAGAGCAGGCTAGGTAATGCTTGTACGACGTCAAATACAAAGATGGTCGGAGCCCACTCAGCAAGTCTGCTAAGTCTCATACAAATCTGTTTTGCAGCACATACTTACATTTGTGATCATGTAGGTTGTGTCGTGAGCTGCAATGACGATCCAGTAGCTGTACCCGCCTATGGATCGACAGTATGAGTAGAAATACTGAGGAATTCCAGTTACGTAGAGCATGTGTCGTCGACAACAGAGTTATGTGTGCGCAACGTGCTACGTTTAATGTTAACCTAGCTAATCGAACGACGAAGACCTAAGATATCATCGCTGACAGCAGAGTACACGCCGAGCCCGATCAGCTTTTTGCTAGATTGCTGTAGTAGTTAATGGTTTGGTTATACAAACTCGTATTCTTTTTCATTTTATAAGTGCATCATTTCATATAAAATTTGCTTACCTTAAGCGATCATACGCGTAGGGCAACCAATTTTCGTGTTATTCTTCATGACCCCCATGCGCATCACACGCATGAACTAATGGACCAGCGCGGCTAGTTGTCCTCTGCGTCTGAGCCAACTGCGTAAGCTACAAGGGTTTGCCTTCAACATCCTCAATCACAGCCTCCGACGCCCACCACTGAGGCAGGTCAGGGGTAGTGCACAAGCTGGCAAAGGAACCGGCAAGCAAGCTGCAAATGCGGAAGTTTACATTAGGTGCACAACGACCTCGGGAGCCGGCGAGACCGGTGTTTTGGAGCTGGATACGTATCAGGAGAAGACGGACAGGTTTACAAGTAGTAAGGGACTCCTCCAATACGAAGCCTATGTCAACATTGTGCCTTTGCGGTGGATGCAAAGCAAAATCTGCAACCAGGCGAAGAAGCATGCTACAACGAGGCACATATCGCGCTCCCGGAAGCACCGCCAGCAGCGACTGTGCGGCGTCACCCGCAGCGGCAACGACATGTATCACTCTCCCACTATAAAAGCTCTGACCACACAGCGCGAGAAGACCGAAAAATAGGCAGCCTTGAAGTTTTCTTTTTCTTGATCTAGTTCTATTCAAGCTACTATAGGTGAAAGATAAGTACAAGAATAGCGGTGACTACGAGGCTGCTAATGTGTAGGTTACGCTATTGCTATCAACAGCGGCGTATGTCCGAGGACTGGAATCAAAGCTCGAGCATTAGTGCTTGTAATAAATAAAACCACATACTGTGTATCGCGCTAAACCTGCTACGAAAGATACTACAGCGAAATACCATGTGAAATAAAAATCTGCTTATCTTTTCGGCTGATACATTTTAACCCCCCAACGCGAGAGCTTCTGGCTGCGCCCATTTCCCGAAACCCCATACACGATACTATTTATCTCAAAGATGGGAACACATAGTTAAGTCTAGTTGCTAGTTATCATGTCTTGGCCACAGCCAGGGCACACCCCAAACCCCACGTCTTGAATCGTGTATAGCAATGTACCCATCCGGTAAATGTGTCTGCACGATACAGGATATTTACAATAACGTGTCCGTGTAGTGCACAGACAGCGCAGTAGTAGGTGCAAGACGGGTCACATATTTGCTGAAATTTAGAGTTTGTAGACAGCTGATATACATGTTTATTTAAAACAAGTCAAAAACAAGAGCCAGAAGATAGTCAGACGAGTCTAGCTGCCGTGATCACTAGCGCGCGCACGCTTTCGTTGGCGAAGGCTGCTTGGAGCTTCATTTCCATTGTCGCTGACGTCACCTTCGTCGCTGCAATCACTGCCGTCTCCCGTATTGCTTTGCGCTGGCTTACGCGCACGAATATGGCGCTTCGCGCGCGCCTGAGGGATGCGTGTACCGTTTTTCCAGTGTCTGTGCCAGATTTCGAAGCACGAGAGTGCCTGCTCGTTGCTTGTGTGCTTGACCTTGTTGCACAGGAAGACTCGCGCCGCTTGTTGGTGCTTGGACGACGATTTCAGCTTACACCCACCACAGAAAAACGTACTTTCACCTCCACGCGATTCACTGGCTGACTTCAGCACTGAACAGACCTTACAGGCGCGTTGGCGGCGTTTTCTGGTATCCGTTGTGTTACCTTTACGCCACTCATCCGTTTGCACCGGAACGTGACTGTTGGCAGTTTCTCTGGACTTGGTGGGGGTGGGCTGCATGCCGCGATGACGTAGCATTTGCTTCCAATCGTCCGTTTGTAGTTGGCACAGCTCCAGGTGAAGCATTTTAAGGAAGTACACGTGCGACACCTTTGACTTTCCATCGTAAGTCCGGCGACAATTGAAAAGAATGTACGTGTTGATTATGACCAGGTCAATAAGACCAAGGAAGAGTGACTTGTAATACTTCTTGTATCGACGCAAAAGCTGCAGTGAGTATCTAAATACAGATTACGTATAGGACACGATAAGCATTCCATGTTAAACCGTACATATTCAATAACAACACTTACCTCTGTAGACGTAGCTGGTCGTGTACGTCCACACCTCCCATGTATGTTTGATAGTCTTTCACCAGTCTGGGTGCCATCATTTCCGCCAGCTCTCTGGTGCCTTGATCGCGACGAACAATACGATCCTTAGCTGCGCTTCCTCCCGCTGCAAGAAAGAAGACACCTTGGTTGTCATACCAACGAACCGCTTTGATCGTGGGCACCTTCAGACACTCAGCCACTTGATATGTCCCTTTCACAATATGTGGTGGCCTCTTGTTTGAAGCACGTTTCCCGTTCTTCTTCTTTGGTGGAAGAATAGCTTCGCACAAACCTTGTTTGTTGGTCATAATAGTACCAATACTGTAGAACTTCATGGTCAGCAACTGCATTGCAAGGACGACGGACGTATAGAATCGGTCGGTGATAATCAACCGAAACTTTGGAGGTCCAGTAGGTCCAAATACATGGCGAAGATTTCGCACGACTGCTGCTGGTCCGCAATTTGTGTCAGGTGGTGTACTTGTGTCTTGCAGCTGCTGTTTGCCGCAATACACCTCGAAACTGTACCATACATGTTGCACAGCGTCAGTTAAAGTGTACTAGACACGATAAGAGAACTTAGAAGCAAAAAAAAAGCGAGCCCGAAGGCTCGCTTTTAATCACCGTATGCAATATGCTGTTTTTGAGCGGTTCAGCATGAAGAGTTTAGTTCCCCATTTGTGAGGTTTATCCTTCATGAACACTCGCATGCGATTGAAGGTGGAGCGCGACGGAAGCATAGCTTCATCGAATACCATCACTGCCGGTAAAATTCAATTGCGCAGGAACGTTTCTTGCAGAGTGTCGGATACAGGACGCAATTTCCACGCTCTATATTGCTGCTGAAGTGTAGGTTTCGAGATATGTGAGCGAAGCGGTCTCTGGTCATGAACTGGCCAAAACAGCCCCGAGGAATGGCCCCTTCATCAGTGGTCTTCCAATGGCTCTCAAATCTTTCCTTGTTCGGACAAATTGTCCGCGCGATAAGCAAACCAACAAAAATGCAAACCTCTTTTCCCGAAACATCAACCACCTTCTCGAGCCACGTCTTGATTTGTTCTGGAGTCTGGACTTGAAAGTCTGGACGCTTCAACTTCCGAGCTTTCTGTTTGGCATACTGGGCCTCCACACGAGCGGCCATGTGCTCGTTGTAGTAGTCAACAGTCTCACCGGCAATATTTTCCCACATCTGTGGCGGTGCAAAGCAAAAGAAAGCCCCAGAAGCAGTTTCAGCAGCCAACAACGCTTCCGCAGTAGGTCCACTCTCTCCATTGTAAATGTTTGGATAATCTTCACTGATCTAATCATCTGGTCTCATATCGTACGGCTCCTCCATGTAGGGATACGGTAACTCAGTTCTCGGTGCAGACCAACCATTGAACTTCATGTCTGTCGGTATGTTCTTGTGTATGCGCCCACCTGAAATGAAGTCAGCTCCACCAACGGCTTCGAGAAGTGACTCATCAAAATGCATATCTACTGGAGGCTCAGTATCTTCAACTTCAGCAGGGTCAGGCTCCTCTGGTCCCAAGTCATCGTCGTCGTCGTACACAGACCCATGTTCAGTGTTGTCATCCGAATCAAGGCCAGCAAAATCCTCAGGTCTTTTACCAGGCTGCACAAGGTTTGGGTCGTCTACTAACAAGAATACACGATATGAATAAGTAACGTAAAATACAAAAGTGTATGGACATTATAACAATACCTATCGCAAGAGGCTGTACTGCATCAGGTTCATTCGTCACTACCTCCGATGGAGGTTCTATCTCATCGCCACCTTCATTCACGAGACTCACGAACTCTTCGTCACTCTCAACAACGTCTTCTTCGCTGCTATCGTCATCTCCAATCAGGTCATACTCTAAGGTTCGCTGAGCAAGTGGTATCTCTGAGGCACAAACCAAAACACGCATTAGTGTATACCTAAGTTTCACATCAACAAAATAGTAGCCCACCGTCTTCACCCGATGCAGGCGAGATGTGGGTTGATGATGCAATCAGAGCATCACCACCAACACTACACTCTTGCGAGCTGGTAGGGGCCGTTAAACCTGTACAAGACACAATAAGATTAGACTTCTAAAGCATTTATTATACACGAGAGCATCATACCTTCATTACTTGTACAAATTGCTTTATCTGGTAACTCAGTTGGGCTACCTGGCGGTCCTGAGTCGTTGTACTCAGTTGCATCTCGTACAGGGGTGCTGGATGTAGCGACGGCTGTATGATACACGATACAATCAGTTGATATTGCATCTAATACAGGATAGCAATTCATACCTGTTTCAATCTCCCCTCGACTCTGGGGTGGAGGATCACACGCAGTACTGACTTGTGGATTTGGTACAGGCCTTTTAAAGCTCTGCTGTCGAAGCTCCGCTTTGCAAACACAAGTCGTTAGACTAAAAAATCCCCACTAAGCATAATCATACGTACCGAGATCCAGCTGATCCAAAAAGGCCATCAACTCTTTTTCACCCACGAAGAAATCTTTCCCGCGGACGCCCTTCGTACTTTGACCAGGCATAATGTACGTGAAGTCCACCGATAGGCCCTGGGGTCTCTTTGACGACCATCCTTCTCTTCTCAGCTCTCGCCAGCGCGCTTGAAAGGCCATTGTTTGCCAACGGGGGGAGATTCTAGAATGAGTGGCAAACAAGTGGCGCGCAAATGCACCTCCAATTTTTGATATAATTGTGTGGCGCACACTTCTACCTGTGGCTTCTTATTTTTAGAAAATCAAGATCTTGCAGATCTCAGTTGATCTGAGTGGAAGATACATGTGATAAAAACAAAAAAAAACTACCCCCTTTGACTTAAAATTTGTAAACGCACATACAAAAAAGACGTCAGAAATCCTTATCGTGTCTAATACAGAATAAGCATTTTCGGGATTAGTGTCTAATACAGGCTCTCGCGTTGGGGGGGGGGTTAAAAATGTGTATGCTAGGGATGTCAAACGTGCCTGCCGCTGTCGAGCAAGGCGGCTTCAATTGGATAAAACTGGATTATGTATCTTACATCAGTAAATTCATGGGTTCACAGTGTACATATGGTGATTTGCACAAGGATATCCATTATCAGAAGACGGTACCGTTTTAATACTACAAAGAATTATTGTGGCTTGCAGTCTTTTTGCCCATCGTTTTGACGTCGGATATCGTAGAGGTGCGACAAAATAAATCGGTCTGTGCGAGGGTTAGGTTGATGTATTTCTGAGAGAAAGCGACCGTTCTGCCACTGCTGAAACTTCGTTAATCCGACCTCCCCCCAAAGTCACAGTTACCCGTCCGCAGCCCTCACCAGCAAGACACGAGGCTCCGGCAGGTAAAGCCTCACTACCTCCCCTGTATGATCTGTCTAGCTGCTAATATCCTCTCGTGTTTGTGTTCTTTTGTAGTATAAGAAGGCTAGACTGACAAACAAAAGCGATAGACTGGAGGGAGAGGCAGACAAACAGGTACTAGCGTCTTATGGGCAGCAAATTACAGGTGACTGGCTAATGTCTTTGCGTTGTTCATGTGGCGGCATAGGTGGCGAAGACATGTGACGTTCTTGTTCGGTAGAGCGTGTGTGGTGCGGTATCGTGGTTGCTAACAGACAACGAGATGCATCAACCACGCGGCGAGATAGCATGTAAGTTCCATCAAATGTCCTCTATGCCGCTTTACTTGAGTATATACTAATTAAATGTACGGTGCACTTGTGCAGATTAGTTTTTAATATACTGGCAGTGGCATTTCCAAAACACAATTGTCACCACAAGTCGAGTTGTCTGCAATTGCTAGTGTGTGCGTTTTGTCATGGATGCAAGAGAGAATCAAGCTTCGATTTCTACCAGTGAACCCGAAGGTAATTGACCAAGAATTTTAACTGCCTGTTTAGCTGTCCGAATTGGCGAAGCACACGGTAGTGCTCGAGGCGGTTGGAAGCAATATGTGATGTTTGACATAGGCGAAGGCTACGATGTGTTTCGCGCAAAGTGCATTATGAAGTTTAATGCTTTAGCAGCAAGTGGTGACGTACTGAAGCGCAAGAAGCAACTACAATTGCGGGAGAACAGTGACATTTACCTGAAGCGATCGAGCAACGAAAATCAAGACAAATACATGCGATTGTCGACTACAAATTTCGTGGAGTCTTTGGGCCGGCGGTGGCAGCTTTTAAAGTCTAGTGACAGATCCCCAGGAAGTGGATTCAGATTCTTGGCGTTCCTGTATGTGAAAAACGCTACACCGATTGCTGCATCGGCTGACTTTCAGCGAGCTACCGAGAAGCGCATACAGCGAGCACGCTTGCAGCGTTTAGCTCACGAAGCTACCAACGCGGTTACGTTTGGTGGTATTACCGGACATCATCTTGACATCGTCAATGCGCGTCGTCCAGACAGCGCTGTCTTTCACGTTCCGGACGACAATACTACTGCTCAAGCGATGGAATTAGATAGACAGCGGGAAGCACTAAGAACCCAGCGCATACAGGTTGAAGAACAAGCGCTAGCTCAAACAGGCATTACCAAACTGAAATGGAGTGGAGTGTGGATTCCTGTAGAAGTTGATTTGGTTTCACTGAGGAGAGCTATTGGCTTACCAGACCACGACATTTTTACGTCTGGAATCTATCACGAGCTCACGCCAACAGCTCCATCACAACCAAACCTAGAAGACTTTGAGCACAAAGAAGAAGAAGAGCATGAAGAAGAAGACAATGAAGGAGAAGCCATGGAACTCTCTGATTTAGGATTGATTTAGATCACTTGTTCGCCTGAATGTATTACACTTTACTCGTGTTTCTTGCAGCTATCGATTAAACCCTCAAATACTTCATCTCGCAGCGAGAAACTGTTGTAGCCACAGTGCTGGAAAGACCCAAAAAACTTTCTCGTTCCCGCTGGGTGCATTTGTTCATGGCAACATCCAATACCGATTCTGGGTAGAGAGGAAATACAAGATTCGCGTGGCGTTGAATTCATCGTTTTAAAAGGCCGAAACCTTGCTCGATTGGGTTTAGCTGCGGACAGTATGGTGGAAGAAAGATCAGGCGAGCACCGCACGCATGAATTGCAGCTTGAAGCTCAGGATAAACGTGGATTTTCGCATTATCCATTACGACAATTGATCTTGGAAGTGGCCCCGGGATTAGCAGCGGGATGACATGCTTTAAAAAAGCCTCGTGAAATTTTCCTCTTGTAAACGTTCCTTCTGTCCATTCCCATGCAATAAACCCAGAGACGTCGAGTGCAGCCAAAATCGAGAGTCTTTTTCCCCGTCGAAATGGCAACCTCACGATAGCTTTCGTGTTTCGCCGGGACAACGCGTAGCGTCGATAAGCGTGACGTCCATCCTTGGAAGTTTCATAAAAACAAAATTAATTGCTCAGCGTACGAGTAAAGTGGTAGCAGCTTTTCCTTGAAGATACGAATTTCGGCTGGAACTGCTTCGCGTGCCGCCTTCGACAGCACCTTGCGGCTGAGATTTAAATCAAAGTTGAGAGCACGACAAATAGTAGAGGTTAAAATCGCTCTAAAAAGAGGAAATTGTATGGAGATGCTATCTCGTAGCTCCTCAATGTAAAACGTGGGTGGTCATCCACATACGCTTGCACAAACTGAAGTACCTCTGGTGGCCATTTGGTCCTCTTCTCTTTTTGTTCAGGCTTGTCATTGACAATGCCATCACTTAAGAAAAGAGCGTACCAGCGTCGTATAGACCGTAGCTTTGCTCTGACACATGCGTGACAGGGATATTGTAGACGTGAAGGAGAGCGACTGCACGCCACCGAAAGTCGTCGGGGTAAGTCATACGACAGTGAATTAATAGGCGAAAAAAATGCAGCAAACTCAAAGCAAAGCAACGACCACTCATTTTTGCCGTTTTAAATCAGCAAAACGAACTTTATTTGATTATTTGGGCTAGAACGATCTGTGTAAATCGTAGCAAGACAGGAGACATGCTCTTCCATTTCGGAGCTGCAAAATATATTGGACCCGATATATCGGATATCTTACCATCCGTTTTGCCAAAAAACCTGCAAGCCACAATACGTGTGCTTTGCAGATGGAATGCAGGTCGCAAACGTGGAAAAAAGGATACCCGTACCCGCCCGGCAATATTTTTCGGGCAACCGCGAAAAATTGTCTTGGGCTGACTAAAAAAAAGAACTCTGTATAAGTGCATAAAAAATAAAGAAGTGTGTTCTTACGAACTATAGCAAATGTGCATTAGAGCGAGCAACTAGAATGTCGTATAATACTGAAGGACTCAGCATCGTTCGCTTTATTCCAAAAGCGTTTCCGGCGTCGGAGAAGTTGCTCTCGGACATAGCACTCGAAGCTGGAATTGCCAAAACCGACCTCGCCACATGCCCCAATAACGAAAAGCTTAGAAGTTCTCCATCTCTACCCGAGTTGGCAGCTTTTGCCCACCACGTGAGTAAATTGAAGTTACACATCTCAGTTTCACTCAAACGCTGGGCCCAATACCTGTCCATCTCAATTTTCTTCTGGTCTTTTTGTTGGTGGATCCGTGGTATTTTTCTCTTCGTCCAACTCGTCAAGCTAATAAACCCCCGTCTTTGTTTTTTGGCTTCGTTAGAGCTGCTGACACCAGAACCAGGTTCATTAACGTATATCCTAGTCGAAGATACGCGCATTAAGGCTAGCAAAATATTGCGAGCATTCGTAACTTGAAGTTCGTCGACTCCGTACAATCGTAGCTTACGCTTCTGGCGCGGGTCAAGGATCGCCGCTACATAATGTTTGTCAACCAATTTCCACTTTGGCATGCCGTGAGCTAAACTGAGCTGCTTTACTGCAATGAGGGAAGGTGAATCGGGTGGAATAACCTTATCGGGGCTTCCGTCTTCGCTGACAACCTCGGGTTCGGTACAAGGTTTCAGTAGATCCAGCAATCTAAAACGCTCGTAGACCACCAAATGCAGCGTTGATTTTGTCCAGCTTTCTAGTTCAAGGTAGCCTCCTGAAACGATTCCAAAACATTAACAAGCTCTTCAAGAAGCTGGCGGTTTATGGGCTCGAGATAGTGAAATAGCCGCCGCGATGCTAACAGCGTCGGCAGTTCATCATACATTTTCTTAATGCTGTGCATCATACGATAATGAGAGCCCCACCTAGTGACATTCTCTTGTTTGAGAGTGGTTGAGAGCTGCGGCTGCAGGCTGGCTTGTTTAACGTAGCGCACTAACGTCTTGCACCCCTCAATCATTTCAAAAACCTTCGGGACGCTCCTTCTAAACTGATAAAATGGGTCCGACCTTGTGTTTCCAACCGTTTCAGTAGTTTTACACAGCACCGTCGTCAAAATGATTGCGATCTTGTGGTCAGCACAAGCTATCCAATCGTACTCAGAACGAAATCCATTGCTACCGCACATGTTAGAGTCGATATCGGTGACAACAGTGAAAAGTTCGCGCTCGCATATATTTGAGTTGGTATCACTCACAACCGTTGCCAGCCTGCTTTCGTAAATGTCGTAATCTCTTAGACAACAGTTAAAAAGTCAAGTACCGCAGTAGCCGTGTGAGATTTGGGGCTGAAATGCTTGACTTGGAGCGTTCGTGAGTGCATTTTGTAACACTCGTCTATTCAATGGCACGTGATGGACATGAAAGCCAATTTGCGGGCTTTGTCTGTTCACAAATCAACCGTGAAATCTGCTGAGCAGCCTTCTTTAAAATGAACTGCCAAAAGTCGTTTAACACGAGAGCGAGCATCTTCTGCAACTTTCACGACGTGATTTTTCACAGTGTTACCAACAGGTAGCAACGCATCGATGTCCACAAGTGATTTCAGTCTAGCCCCAATTTTTATTAAAGTAGACGCGAGCAATTTAAATCCTGAGCCTTCACGAATTGAAAATGGCCGTAGATCTGTACTGCACATTATTGCTGCAGCTCGACAAACTTCCTGTTTGTCGAGCGCAGATACCTTGTCATGAGCGATGTACCTAACCATTGATCCAATACCTAGGTTTGCATTTTGTATGGAACACTTCGTAGTGTGTCCGTTCAACGTACTGGTTCCCATTCCACTTTCATAAACGTACGCTTGAAAGCACACTCGGCACGCAGCGTACTGCTTATTACTTGCTGTAAAACGCACGCCACTTTTTTCTCTACAACAAAGGAGAAACATTTCCAACGGCTCGAAGATGATTCAGCTTGAGGAGTAAGAACTGCATCATCTTTTACTGACAATAGTTCAGTCTTTATAGCAGCTTTGAGGGACTTCATATCAAGAGACTTCAATTTCTGTATTTTTAATGTTAGCAGTGTCTGCTCTCACGTCTTCATCAACTTCGCCATCATTACGGGGCCGTTTTTCAACTACTCGAACAACAAAAGAATTCATTTTGTTAACCCACGACCAAAATGTACGAGACCACCACTCAGAGCTCCACCACCGAGGCGTACGGGCCCACCAGCTAGAACTCCACCACCGAGGCGTACGCGCCCACCAGCTCGATCTCCACGAGACGTACGAGACCACCACTCAGAGCTCCACCACCGACACGTACGTGCCCACCAGCTCGATCTCCACGAGACGTACGAGACCACCACTCAGAGCTCCACCACCGACACGTACGTGCCCACCAGCTAGAACTCCACGAGACGTACGAAACCACCACTCAGAACTCCACCACCGACACGTACGAGCCCACCAGCTAGAACTCCACGAGATGTACGGGACCAGCAAGCTTACTACGGAAGCCTCCAATTTGTGAATGAATACTGGAACCTTGCAGTCATCTGGTAGTTTCGGCTGTCCATCACCAACCGGTCGTAGGTTTCGGCTGCCCGTACCCACCCGTTCACTCGCATCGGAAAACGTTTCGGCTACCCATACTCGGCCGCGGTTATAACCGAATGCTACCCGTTCGGGTACGGCTAGCCGTTTGCGACCTCTGATGAAATGTCCATCCGTT